GCTGTGCACCTGACACGCGGGAGGTACCCAGTACATTTTTGTTGAATGAAATGCACAAATAAACATACAGCGAATGGAAAGGATTACATCAATGGTAACCACCAACCCCAGTAACCTAGATGTGATGTTGTGTGTTTCTTTTGGGAACTCTTCTTTTGTTCCTGCAAAAGATGCTAGTAACATATTAGGCACAATGGAATATTTTGTTTGGGTAACTTGCTTTGATACTCAATTCTCCATTGGCTTTGGTAGCTTTGTTGGAGTTTCTATTTCGGAACCTTTCCAGATGAGTATTGTGGAAACAGACCAGTTGGCTACAACTCATTAAACATGTCAGTTGGCATTAGGACATATTCACAGTTTCCTGCTTTTTATGAAGCTGTGTAGATGGACTGTGGTGAGCTTTAGTAAACGGAGGAGTCACGTCTGCCACAAAGGACACTGTTTTCAGGGAAACAGGAAAACTGGGAGATCGAAAAAAAAGAATATGATTATTTCCTGATTACCACTATAATGACATAACAACTGCATTTCAAGATTATTAAAATGTCCCATTGATTTTCCTATTTTTGTCCTTTCTTTTTTTTTGTGATTTTATATGCCATTATGTTAGAGATCACAGAGAATGAGATAGAAAACCACTTAGGCATCACAGTCTTCCCCAGTGTAAGCTTCTCTATGACTGTAAGTAGTTCTGTTCCGCTCCAAATAGAAAAAGATAATTCGGTTTTTGAGAAGCTGCAGATAGAATATTTATTTCATTGATAAATACGCCCTTTGGAGAAATAAGGGCTTGTTATAGTTTGCCCAAATTTTTGCAAAATATTTTTTATAAGATTGTTGACGTCAGCAACCCATTTTCCGATTCACTTGAAGTAGAGTATACAGTTTGGAAAATCAAGTTTTAGTGTCTATGTTTTGTCCTGTTTTCTGTCTGGAATTCTCTGAGTTCCTTCTCCTCTGCATTTGAAAGCAGGTCGCAGTTCCATTGACTTTTAAGTCATACAATTAATGTAAGCATTTTACATGGCTTTTCATCTCCTTGTCCACATTATTTATGACATGAGATTAATTAAACAGATTCTTTCATCTGTTTGTTTTCAAGACAACACTAAGACTGGCTTGCATTTTGCTGTGTTCAGATGCTTAACAGAGTTCCAGCCAAAGCTATGCCCTGAACTCTGAGCATTTCGAGTTCTTTCCTCTGTATCTATTTCTGTTCCTGTTGTTTTATGAAGGAAAACTGTCTCCTTTTACACTTGCTCAAGGCCAAGCTGTCTTTGCCCTTAGACCCTCTGTGTCAGTGCAGGCCGCATGGGGTTTTATGGACCTCCTTCATGAGACCTGCCAGAAGTGTGTGTTAGGGTTGGGGAGGGAGTCCACCCACACCTCCTGTGGAGATTATAGCTTCTAAGAATTTGCATTCTTTTTTTTAATTTTGTTTTTATTTTTTTTTAATTTACATCCAGATTAGTTAGCATCTAGTGCAACAATGATTTCAGGAGTAGATTCCTTAATGCCCCTTACCCATTTTAGCCCATACCCCCCCAGAACCCCTCCAGCAACCCTTTGTTTGCTCTCCATATTTAGGAGACTCTTCTGTTTTTATATTATTTTTGTTTCCCTTCCCTTATGTTCATCTGTTTTGTCTCTTAAAGTCCTCATAGGCGTGAAGTCGTATGACTTTTGTCTTTCTCTGCCTAGTTTCACTTAGCATAATACCCTCCAGTTCCATCCACGCACTTGCAAATGGCAAGATTTCATTCTTTTTGATTGCTGAGTAATACTCCATTGTGTATATATATATATATATATATATATATATATATATACCATATCTTCTTTATCCATTCATCCATCGATGGCCATTTGGGCTCTTTCCATCCTTTGGCTATTGTTGATAGTGCTACTATAAGCATGGGGGTGCATGTGTCCCTTCAAAACAGCACACCTGTATCCTTGGATAAATGCCTAGTAGTGCCATTGCTGGGTCGTAGGGTAGTTCGGTTTTTAGCTTTTTGAGGAACCTCCATGCTGTTTTCTAGGGTGGCTACACCAGCTTGCATTCCCATAAGAATTTGCATTCTTAAAGAAGCTGCCTGTATGTTTGCTTTGCCCCCTAAAGTTTGGGGCCACCGCTATCTTTCTGGCAACCCCCACTGTGTTTATATTGCAGCCAAAATAACCTCAAAATGCAGCGCTGGCGTTTTATGAGTCAAAATCATCCTGTCCTCTGCTTTCCTAGACCCCAGAGGGTCTTGAGAGAACAACAGTATTCTCATATCACAATAGCTTTCTGGTTCTCAAGAAGAGTTTTTATACCTTAAGTTTACACCTCTTCTTCAGCATATTCACCCAGAGTCTAAGTACGTTTATCTTCCAGTTTCACATTTTTGTGATTAACTGGTTAATGCCTGTCTCCCCTGTTCAGCCAGGGCAGCTAATGTGTCTGTTTTTGCACAGCACGAAATGTGAACACGACAGACACCTCTTTTTGAAGGAATACCACTACTGCACTGAGTAGTGAGGATAACCAGTCAGTCTCTGCCCATATCAAGTTCATAGACTATTTAAAAAGCCAGCCAGCGAGTGAGTTGTTACAAGGAGTATGGGCCAGAGCCAAGAGCGTGTCCTTGGAAGAATCTAGAAAGTGGCATTTGAGCTATGAAGTTCTACAGTGAGAATCACAGCTGGTTTTTTTTAGCTAATTCTTCTTTCTCCTGAATTTTACTTTTTCTTGAGGTTTATTTGTTACCCTTGTCTATTGTCAGCGCTTAGAGAAGCCATGACCTCCCAGGCCGTGACCAGCCCTTTGGGATGTGATTGTGCCAGGAAGGGGACAAGGAAGGGGAACAGCATTTGCTGAACATCTTTGCCCCTGATCATCTCAGTGGGTTAGAGGATAAAGAGGTTTTTTTTTTCTTTCTCTGCCGCTTGCTACCTGTAGAATCCCAAGCACATTTCAATGTATCTCCCAAGCATCCATGTCATTACATGTTAAATGGAATAATTCAGTTTGTCTCCCAGGGCTGTTGTGGGATGAAGCAGAATAAAAACTATGCGTGCTCAGCACGGTACCTGCCATCTAGACGGCAAGTCGTTAGTAAGTGTCATATTTGTGGTAGTCATCATGATGTTGTGGAAGTTGAAAGGAGGAAGCTATTTGAGGACAGTCTTCTGAGACCATCACCAAGAAAAAGGACCTTACCAGGAGGATATTACAAATTATTTTTTCTTGCCACCAGGAATAGCAATCCTGTCCCCAAAAAGAATCTTATACTTTGATATTCAGCCACAATCCCACACTATAATGTTACTCTCACCTTACGGTTCTTCTCCTATTTGCTTTTTACCTGGTTGTCTTAAGCCCATAGACCTCGCACTGTTGTAATTGTGGGTGCTCCAATGGCTTCAAAGCAGAGTTGACTAGGGGTAAGAGTTGACTACCTGTATCAGAATTAACTGAGAGTGAATTAGAGATGGGATATCTTCAATAATTCTTACAACCACTGCAGGTAATATAACGCTAATTATATCATTGCGGGCTATATCATTCTGCTTTGAATTTATAATTCTAGTCTCATGGCAGGAATGTGTAAAAGTGCCATAATAATTTGCTCTTGTATTCCCTCCAGTTTCAGTGCGCTTCTCCCATCTTGGAATAGTTCAGTGGTTTTACAGATTTCAACTTGGATGCCCCTTCCTGGAAGGCCAGCCTGAAGTGGCTACTCACCCCCGAGCCCATTTTAATTCTCTGCACAGCCCCCAATTTCTGTTTTCCAGTCCTTTGTGTATCCCTTCAGTCTTTCGTTCATTCATTCTTCCCTATGAATGTCAGTTTCCCAAAAACAGGAGGCAATCCTATTCCCTTATAAAAGGGGAGTGTTTTGAACCTACTGGTACTAAGCCCTTCTGTGCGACAGCACAGGGTAAAGTCGTGAGCAGAACTGACCTGGTCTTCTGGAGGCAGCCATGAAGGAGGCACATGTTGGTCAAAACAAAGAAATGAAAATGAATACGTATGGACTTCCAAATTGTCGTACGTGCCCTGGAAGACAAGAACCTCGTCTTGAGAAATTGGAGAAACTTCGACTGAGATCTGAAGAGTGACTACAGGTCCCCTTAGTAGATGAGGGACAGACATGGTGCTGAGTATGTGTGAGGTACTCTCGGGGGAGGGGCTGCTTCAGGCCTTGTGGCAGCAACAAAACATGTAACCAGAGCACATTCAGGAACTAGAGCCAAGGCCTCATGGGTTCGTCACGAAAGGCAAAGTAGAGATGTCGAATAAGAGAAAAGTTGGGAGGCTGATGAAAAAGCCAGAGCCAGAGAAAGGAATCGGGGTGCCCAACCATGTGGACATCGTTTAAAGCCATTGGGGTCAGATGAGAGAGAAAGGAGTCCAAGGCATGACTGAAAAGTGGTGGCTGATGAAGAAGAAAGAAAACCAGAATAGAGTGTGGTCATGGAAACCCAACACAGACAGGTTTCAAGGAGGAAGTGGAAGCCACCATGTTAATTCTACTGAAGAGTCAAGGAAGATCCGAAAAAGGAAATGTCTTGGATAATGCAGCAGCATAGAGTTTGTTAGTGACCATGGCTAGTGCTGCTCTGGGGTGTCACGGGACCAGAAACCCAACTGGAGTGAAGAGTGGACGGAACACAGGATGAGAAAGTGAAGGCAGACCCTCTAATCAACGATTTGAAGAAGTTTAGAGCGTCTTGCCACATGTGCCCGAAGGTGACATTTTTGAGCCACCACGATCATCCAATCAACAAGAACCTAAATAAAATTACATCTTAGCACCAAAAGCCCTGAAAAAAACCAAACAGAATGATTCATTCCCACCCAAATTTTGGCCTTCGTTTGGCCGATCTTCTTTATGTTACTCTCCTATAAAGGAAACACTTCGGAAGCATGACCCCCTAAAAAATGTCTCTCGCTCTCTAAGACTTATTATCTGGTGTTTTTGCTTTCTGTCTGTCTTTTTGCACCACAGAATAACAGACTAAGAAAATATGCTTTTGAATTGAAAATGAATGACCTAACTTATTTTGTGCTGGCGGCTGAAACAGAGTCAGATATGGATGAATGGATCCACACCCTGAACCGCATCCTGCAAATCAGTCCTGAGGGGCCACCTCAGGGGAGGAGGAGCACGGAGCTTGCAGATCTGGGGCTGGGTGAGAACGCACGCGCCCCCCCTTCCCTTCCTTTGCAAAATGTGACCTGTGTGTTTGGTTCATCTAATGAACCGGTTAACTGTGGTAGCTGTCAAGGCTAACTAGTTAACTGTGGTAGCTGTCAAGGCTAGCTCATCCGTCCCTGAGCTCCAGAAAAGCACCCCGAAATGCTTGACTTTTCCTGAATAGTGAGGATCACCACACGCAGGTATGATTTTCAGTTTACTGGCAGTGATTTGAGGTTGGAAATCATCTGTCGGCAGTACTAAAAATGTACCCATGTCTGATGGGAGGTTACCTTAGATGGGGTAGTTTGTGTTGCATAGCCTTTACTCTACTTTACTTTACTTTGATTTAATTAATTAACATGATATTATGTAAAGACAGACATGCATTACTTCCTTGTAATTGAAAGATATCTTTCATGGATACTTCTTGACCATACTGAGATCAGCTTATATGTGACAGTTCCATAAATGTTGCACAATATTAGAGATCTTTATGAAATAAAAATATTTTTCTTCTTCCCATCCTTATTACTTCTTAAAATTCTAATTTATTCTAGGCAAAGAGAGGGGAGCAAGAGCGTGGAAAGGACGGGTGATGAGACACATAGAAAAACAGGTCCATGACCACAGGAAAGCCAAGTTCACTTCCAGAGTTGGTCGTTCCTCCCGAAAGGAAAACTATTTTAAGACATTTTGTCCTGCACCGTGGGATCTTAGACACCAGAGTCTTTAGATTCTAGTAGTCTAAGTATCATATTCTATAAAGTGAAAGAGGCATGGGACAATGAGGAAGAAAACTGTTGTAGACTTTAACACAACTACTATGTACCATAGTAGGTGTTTAGCATTCATGATTTACTTAATGATAATCAACTTGAGTATTCATGTTTATAGAATTTTAGAGTTTAAGTAACTGAAGCCAGGATATGGGCTTGAAGTTGATGGCCAGAGAGTCAGAATATCAAAAATGTACTCACAGATAAGAAAACTTTAGTGTGCATTGATGGAGTAAGTCATGACAACCCCAAGTATAAGTGTGGTATTATAAGGGTCAAGAGTTCTTACGCACATAGGGTGGTGTCATGGAAAGAATCCCAAAATGACCATCAGGAGGTCTGATTTCCAGGCCTCGATCTTGTGACAATATAGAGTCCTGGAGGCAGGATACAACGAAGACTTCTGCTCACCTGCATCCATCCCACATCCGGTCTTGATATGCCACAGCCTGGAGAGATGTGTGATTCATGAGTATTACTTATTAATCTGTCTTGGTGTATCTTTTCAAGATTCGCTGGATAATTCTGTAACTTGTGAAAGCACACCAGAGGAAACAGAGTCTTCAGAGAACAGCCTACACCCAGACTTCGCAAAAGTAATAAAGCCGACATTTTACTATGCAAATAAATTTGAATTACTTATTAGTTATTGTTTTCATGGAAAAGATGGAAATGCTGTATTTTAAAATTTAAACTAAGAAATGCAACACTCAAAAAACAAAAGCATGTTTTGATCGGATTTGCCGCGTGTTAATGGATGATGTTAAAAGAGTGATGATACTAAGGGGCAATTTCTTGGCCATGTGGAGGGGGCCAGGCTGTAAGTATTTGGATAGTTGGTTACCAAGAGCTAACACAGTTTTCTCTGCAGTACCTCACAGAAACTGAAGAGACTGTCAAAACAACTCGAAATACGGAGAGGTTAAATCTGTTCTCGCTGGATCCAGATATAGATGTAAGTCGAAATTCCTTCTGAGCAAGCGTGAACTCAATCCACACAATTGTGGTTTAGAATTCAGGATTTGTTTTTTTTATGATGGGGATTTGTTGAGAAAAACCTTCCACCTTTTTTGTAGACCTTGAAACTTCAGAAAAAGGACCTTTTCGAACCCGACCTTGGGATCAAACCATTTGAAGAAAAAGCCGCCAAGAGAATCATGATCATCTGTAAAGCTCTCAACTTAAATCTTCAGGGATGTGTTACGGAGAATGAGAATGACCCAATAACGAATGTAAGTTTCCCCTGTTACATCCAGTGCCGATCAGCCAATATCACACCACCCTGGCCAAAATCTTTTCTATTCCTGATAATCCCAGGCACTGAGTTCACACCAGCTAGTGCACCAGGGAGTATGAATGACAGCATTTTCCACATCACAAAAATGCACGAGTTCTGAGGCGGACGTATTACCGTAAAATGTTCCTTTTACCTTGAAAAAGTGTCAAAGGGACTGTATTCTAGTGTCCTTTCCATTCAATCGCACAGTGGTTCAGAGTTTCCTAAGGCATTGTTTATATCTACTTGGTGGTGGCTGAGATGGCTTTTAAGTCAAATTCTTTTTTAATTTTTATATTTATATGTTTGTTTGAACGTATATTAGAGAATAGTGTGGACAAACAAATCAACTCTGAGATTTCACAGCTATCACTGCCTAAGACAAGGCTACATAGTGAATCAAGTAAAATAATATTGGATAAATATTAAATAATAGTATAGGCAAATGGGAGGGAAAAAAAAGGTGCTTCACTGATATTTGGGAACCACCACAGCATTCATTAAATCAACATAAGATTCCTTTTCCTGCTAAGTGGACTGTCTTGAAAGTTCTCTCCTATGGGGGATGGGGAGGGAGGGGAGGATGGGTGATGGGCATTGAGGAGGACACCTTTTGGGATGAGCACTGGGTGTTGCATGGAAACCAATTTGACAATAAATTTCATAGTTAAAAAAAGAAAGAAAGAAAATTCTCTCCTAGTAGTCTGGGGACAATTCTATACCAATTGTATAAAAATTGTTTTAATATTTATTTATTTATTTATTTATTTATTTATTTATTTATTTTGAGACACACAGAGAGAGAGAGAGAGCATGAGTGGGGAAGAAGCAGAAAGAGGCGGGGAGAGAGAATCCCGAGCAGGTTACCTGCTGTCAACACAGAGCCCAGCGTAGGGCTCAAACTCATGATCCATGGGATCATGAATGTGAGCCAAAATCAAGAGTGGGATGCTTAACCGACTGAGCAGACCAGGCACCCCTAGACCAATTGTAAAGTTATTTGTGGGAAGGGGGCATTCCGCGAGCATAAACATTAAATTCTGAACTATAAGGAAAGAAAAATTATACATAATCCCACCACCAATCCAAGTCAGTGTTGTTGTACTGGTATGTCCCCTTTCATTGTTTTTAATGCAGTCCATTTTAATTTTTGATAAATCATCCCTCAATTATCATCTCCCACCTCAAAGAAGAAAACTTATTTCTAGATCCATATTATAAGCCATATTTGCTTTTTAGAAGACAAAACAGCGTTAAGCTTTCTCTCTAGACCGAGCACCACACAATTCCATGCACATCTCCGTGCTGAAGTTCAATGAGACTTATTAGCCGTGACAGTGTGTGGCTTGAAGAAAGGATGGACCCTTTCGTACCTGCTGCCCTTGGGTCTTCAGGCATGGCACTGGTTCTTTGAGCCCATTTTCCCTGGTGTAACAGAGGGATAATGGCACATGCTACGAACCTCAGATTGAATGAGGAGAGTCAAGTGATAATGTGCCTCTCTTGGGTCAGTATGCCTCGCCTTCCCATCAGTGAGTTCTGCCACGCTGGGCAGGTAGCTTACCTTCCCTCTCCTCTTCTATAAATGGGATAATAATAACAGTAGCTGTTTCAAAGGACTATTGTGAAGAAGTCATGAAGTAATATATGGAAAGTACTTGGATGATGCTTGATAAGCAATCATTACATATTAACTGTTATTTTAATAGGTGGGAAATTGCTTGGAAATTTGCGAATGCTATATATGCAAGGTATTGGCGTTTTCAGTATTGCACATGAGAATCTTGTTGACAAGGTAAAATTGAGCTGACTCACCAGCAAGAATCTTCCCCCACAATGGAACTTTCTCACATTTTAGAACTATAATCGGGCAGTAGGTATGTGAGTAAAAATGATAGTACTGGAAGTCATGTTTATTCCTTTTTCAGCAGCTACTTACTCTGTGCACCTACTGGGAGCCAGACTTTGTCTAGGTACTCAGGAAACAGCAGGGAACAAGATAACAAGCCCCCTGCCCTCTTGAAGGCTGACTCTTTTTGAAAAGAACAAACAATAAATTTTTTTTTAAAAGACAAATAAATTAACACGAGAGTTGTACATTATTTACAGTTGTTTGAAATAAATCAGTATGACAGATGTGATACAGAGGAACTGGGAGATGGGTCACGTTAGGTAGAGTGGTCATACGAGGACTCTCTCAGGAGGTGACATTTGAATACAGACCTAACAGGTGAGAAGGATAAGTCAGGTCATGGGAAAATATTCTAGGGCAGGAGAACGAGCAAGTGTGAATGCCAACTAAGTCTTGGCAAGTTCTAGGAACAGGAAGTAGGTGCCGAAGGGAAGAGCAGACCAAGATAATGTGGGAAGGACAGTCCAAGGGAAGGTTATGTAAGGTACAGGCTGTAGTGAAGTGTTTGCATTTATCCTGAGTGGAGGCTATTGAAGGATTTAAAACACTTTCAAATGGTGTGGTTCGATTTCTGTTTTTGTTTTTGATTTTTAAGATCCCATCAGAAAAAAAATAATGAATTGGAGGAAATAAGAGTTGACCAAGGATGGTAGGTAGGAGTCTGCCACCTAGTTCATTGCATGGCATAGACTAGGACTGGCAAGGAAGAAGGAGAGAAATGGATGGATATGACTGATGTTGGGTAAATTGGACAGACAGGCTTCTCTGATCTATTGGACAAGGGGAAAGAGTATCTCAAGGATGAGTCCCTCGCTTTTGCTTTGAATACTTCTATGCATGGTGGTGCCATTAAAAGGGCAAGACTAGATGAAGAGCAGATTGGAGGGATATTGGCCCCAAATTCCATTATGGGCATGTTAAGCTTGATAGGCCCACCAGATATCCAAACAGAGATGTCCTTTGGGTAGATTCAAATACAAGTTTGGAACTCAAGGGAGTGGCCACGAACTAGGTATAAACTTGGAAGTCTGGTCCATACAGTGACCCGGAGGGTCACATTTAGGAATTTCTGTATGAATAGAAAGGTTTGGCCAGGAACAAAACCTTTAAAAGATGAATAGAGGGATTCCTGGGTGGTTCAGTCAGCTGAGTGACCAACTCTTGATTTGGGCTCAGGTCATGATCCCAGGGTCATAGGATCAAGCCCCAGGATTCTCTCTCTCTCTCTCTCTCTCTCTCTGCCCCTCTCCCCCACTCATGCACTTTCTCTCTCTCTCTCTCTCTCTCTCTCTCTTAAATAAATAAATAAATAAATAAATAAATAAATAAATAAAAGATGAATAGAGAAATGACCAAAGGAGACTAAGAAGGAATGGCCATTGAAGTAGAGCTAAACCAAAAAAGATTGGGCTATGGAGCCAAGAGGGAACATGTCAGCTGTGTGGCATGGTGCTGAGGAGCTGAATAACAGGAACCCAGAGAGGAGCCCAGCAGATATGCCAACATGGAGGATACCTGGGACTGTGGAACGAGAAATTTCCATGGAGTGAAATGGTCAGGAGGAACAATCAATGTACTTTCATTCAGGATTAAAATTTAAAAAACAAAAGAAAACAAATCAAAAGCCCTGGAAGCTGCTTCTTGAAACCACTTGGAAATATCAGGAAAATGTAACCCAAATCATAATGGCATTTAGCCATCTTATGAAATAAAAATAAATGTGGTTTTTTTTGACCATGCATATCCTTAAGTGTGATTAAAATATCCAATTTAGAAACTGAAACTTGAAGATAATGGGCTTTTCTTTCCAGTGCCCGGCATATGACTCCTTCCACATGGATTCCTTTCCTTGTACTAAAACTCATATTCAGAAGCTTAATGTTTGTATTTGGGCCAGTCTTGCCAAGCACGAGAACACGCCCAAGATCAGAACCCAGCATCAGTATGCCCTTTTATATCTGTAAAGCCTGAGAGACAAGTTTATTTGGAGTGCTTTGGATGTCCATATTGTACTTAATTTACTTTAAAATTGATACAAGTGTTAAAAAAATAGAAAATGACTTTGTAAAAAACAATTTCATTGTGCTTATAAACAATAAAATAAAAACTAAGAAAACAGCTTCACCTAAACTTGACAGCAATTTTTTATGTAATGGCATTGTTTTTAAAAATCTTTGTATATTATTGAGTGACACTCTTTTGTTAATGTAGCTATTTTTAAACTCATTGTTTTTAACTCAGAGAGCATTTTTTTTAAGTGAATCGAAATATTTCTTCAAGTTGCCAAAGATCCAACTCCTGTATTTAGTGAATGAGCTTCTAAAAAGCTTCTTTTTAAAACTTTTCCATGATGAGGAAACAATATTTGACAGCATGTAATTTTTTAGTCAGTCCGTCGGGAACCAAATTCAAGTTGACGGTATTCTAGTATAAAATATATCTTTGAAAATAGCAATTGATTCCTAAAATGTGAACAAATAAGCCTGCTTCACAGCAGAGCTACTTTAAAATTATAATGTTCTTGATTTTTATTTAAGAAAATACAGAATTCTAAACATAAGCCTGTGACTTAATTTGGTAGGCTTTCAAGTGCTTGATTAAACAAATCTTTATTGAAAAGCCAATGATTCAAAAAGTAAGATTTGACATTTAAGTTGAAAAAGTGGATTGGAAGAAATAAATGAATCACCATATGAGCTTTAATTTCTGATGGATTATCAAAGTAGGTAATTTATTTCCATTCACCAAGCAGAAGTGAAAATCAAAATGCACCAATTCATGACAAATAATAAGATTTTTTTTCCTTTGACCTTCAATGTGCTTTGAGTTCCTGCCTGAGTTACTTTCATGTAATTTTTGCATTTTCTACTCTTGCAGACCACCACTACCACAAACCAAAAGTTTTTCTAAATTAAATTCAGTTGGTAAAATGGGAAACTTTTACTTTTTAATTGTCTTATTTTTTTAATATTTTATTGAATTTCATTTTATATGTGTAGCTCTGTTTCTAACAGTAGGGCAGCTGGCAAATATGACTAGTATTAAGGGATAAAATAACAACCCCATTATAAGCTAGCCATATTACTGTGTTTCAAAGCACATGAGATACCTATTAAACATTCAATATCATGTGGTTTTGTGTATATCCTGCTTGCCCACAGAACACTGATATATGAGGGGCATCAATTCAAAATTCAGTGACATAAACGAAAGTAAAAATGTTTTGGGAAGCATATTCCATTCTGAGAAATCTGTAGTTAATGACATGTAATTATATCTATTTGCATAGACATAATGATTTCTATGTGTAGACATGTAACTATGTACATATACATATATTTATTTATTTCAGTCCCTGTTTTATTTAATAACTGTTGCATTTAACAGTTTTCTGTTGAAAATTTCATCTTTCTGGAATCATTCTTCAGATTCTACGATAGCAGCATTTAACATATATATATATATATGTATATATGTATATATATATATGTGTGTATATATATATATATATTTTTTTTTAATCTCTCTCCACCCCCCAGTCGCCTTACAGCCTTTTTTCCCTACTCCACCTCTATCTTTTGCATGCTGATATTGTTCAGGATAACATTCTAATTTTCTTCTCTTTATCTCATGGCTTAAACAAGAACCACATACAAAACTCTCCTGGGTCCACATCCCCAGCCCAGTTTCTTTGGCCAGGCTCAAAACTCATATATCCAACTGTGATTGGAATGTCCTATAGACGACTCTATGTACCATCCAGAACTCATCTTTGTATCTTTATCTTATATATTAGTGAATGATATTGCCGTCCACTTAGTTTCTTACATCTCCAAACCTGGGAAATTTCTTTTATGCATACCCCTGTGAACACCTCTGTCCAACCAATGAGAACACCCAATGGATTTCTAAGTTCTTTGGGTATACCTCCTTAATGCTCCTCAAATGCATCTCCCACAAATGCATTCTTTCATGCCTTTATGTTCTTTCCTGTGTTTATGTCTTTGCACATGTCACTTAATCTACCTAGAAGCCCCTTCTAACCACTGCTTTACCTACTTTTTCCTTTTTTAAAACTCAACCAAGAAACTTTCCCTTTCTTTCCCATCTTTCATTACCTTCCCATTTTCTCTTTATTTCACATTTTCCCTTTCCTTCTTAGCATGGTGGTGAGAGGTACAGAGGCAACTACTCACAGGCTTGGAATTGGGTAACCAACCAAGAAGTCCTCATACTGGGAGGCAGAAAGCTATGTGGAGGCACAGAAATGGAATGTGCTTGGCTTTGTCAGGATCTGGGGTACTGTGCAGGGTGGTACAAAGGAGACAATTCGAGAAGGTGGCTGTGGTTGGCAGACTGGTTACTCTGAACAGTAAGTAAATTGATTGAACAAATAAGTAAATAGGTCAATGACAACAAGAGCCAATTTTTCACTATTGGAGGAAATAGTTACATGAAATATGAATAGGGAAAAGGCTTGAATTAACCCTTCTTGATTTGAATTTGAAATAGAAGTATCAACATGAACTCATGAGTTTTCATAATATTTCATAAAATATTCATGTACAGATAGAGTTAAAGAAATCCTTGTAGATGTGAATGTTATGTGTATGGATATGTCTATGTGTATGTGTGTGTGCATATGTGTATGCGTCCCAGTAACAATGAGCATAATGAGCACCGAGATCCTGGTTTCTAAATGTCACCCTCACAGAAAGGTACCAGAGCTGTATGGAGAAATGACTGGGGCATTGAAAGTATCCAATGAGCCTAGAACATCTTGTTGAGTGAAGAAGTGCCCCCAAAATTATGGAATCTACCAAAAAGTCACGGGAGCTACCTCTAGCCAAATCTGAAACAATTTGAGCATCAATATAAATAATGATAGTAAGAGATTGAAATCTATTGAATAAAGTAGTAGTAATCCATGAGTCTATACTTGGAGGTATGAAAAGAAAGAAAGAAAGAAAGAAAGAAAGAAAGAAAGAAAGAAAGAAAGAAAGAAAGAAAGAAAAAGAAAAAGAGGGAAGGAGGAAGGAAGGAAAAGAAAGAAAGAAAAGGAGGAAGGAGAAAGAAAGAAAGAAAGGAAGAAAGAAAGAAAGAAAGAAAGAAAGAAAGAAAGAAAGAAAGAAAGAAGGAAGGAAGGGAGGGAGGGAGGAAGGAAGAGAGATAGAAAGGTTCATCATTACAGAATACCAACTAGTAAATATAGAAAGAATGATGGAACTAGAAAATCACCATTGGTAGCCGTCTTAGTGGGAGTTGATTCCAGTGGGAGTTACCAATGGAGCATTAGGTGAGTTAGGTTTGATGAGTATCAGGACATTGGGATAGTCTCAGAATATATCTCCAAAACTGCTAATCACTTACCACTTAATATATATTGTATATTTTAAAGAACAATATTATACCATATATAAATAGTAATTTCTCTTATCTACTGTTTTATTAAATAATGTACTAAAGAGGCAATTGCATGTATGACGATTTTATATCAAAACCATCGCTTCTTTCTTTTTTCCTGCAGATTGAGCCTTTTTTTTGTGAGTGTGGCACTTTATGACCTCAGAGACTGCAGGAAGATTTCTGCGGATTTTCATGTGGATCTAAATCACACTGCTGTCAGACAGATGCTCTCAGGGGCTTCCGTGGCTTTGGAAAACGGAAACATTGACACTGTTTCCCCAAGGCAATCAGAAGAACCTCACGTCAAGGGATTTCCAGAGGAATGGCTAAAATTTCCAAAGCAGGTTGCACTTTTGTTTACTTGTGACAACCCTGAAACTGCTCGTTTCATCATTCTTACCCAAAGAATACAGTTGGTTTCCCAACTAAAAATTCCCTAAAAGCTGTCCCTTTAAAAAAAAAAAAAAAAGAAATTTTGTGAATGTCTTCAGGATGCATCCCTAGATGCTTATTAGTTGTTTTCTTCGTACACAGGCTATATTTTCTGTAAGCAATCCACATTCTGACATTGTTTTGGTGGCCAAAATCGAGAAAGTACTGATGGGGAACATTGCAAGTGGTGCTGAACCTTATATTAAAAATCCGGACTCCAAGGTAATGCATAATCTTTTCCATAAATAATTTAGGCTGCTTTCAGGATATAGAATCACACTGCCTTAATGAATTATCAAGCTTGGTAAATGTAAGTCTCAAAATAGTCGCTGGTTACTGAAACGAACATCCATCGGGCAAATTTTAAAGTATATATCCTTGGTGTATGTGTTTCAACCAAGTAGCTTCTGACTTCTGATCATCTCAGTAGAAATCAACTTAAATGTGTATAAAATTTTCACTCCAAGGATCAAAATGTTAGCAATAATGAAAAGTGAGGATTAATCTGACTAAAAGCAAGTGAATACAGATTACTGATGATGAACTAAGTGAAAGAGTAAGACAGATAACTGTAGGTCAAATTATTCTAACACTGAAGTGACAACAGAGTAAAGGATGTGCTGGGAGTTCTTCAAGTGATAGGACAACAGAAAATTTTTTCTTTTTTCTCCAACCATATTGTCTTTAATAATCGAATGTTACTAGTTGGTAGGAAATAAATATTAAAAGTCTGTATTTCTCATGCAAGAGAAATGTATTAGGGAAAGACTGCATAACAATGGAATTTGAGCATGTGTAACAATTTAGGGCAGTGTTTAACATATTCATGAGATTCGGGGTTTGGCAAACTACAATGTGCAGGCCAGATCCACCTGCCACCTGTTTCTGTCAATAAAGTTTTATTTACACAGTCACACTCCATCATTTACGGATTGCCTAATGGCCGCTTTCCTGCTACAGAGACAGAGAAGCCACGACAAAGACCACGTGGTCCACAAAGCCCAATATACTTACTGTGATCCTCTGCAGAATACATTCGCCAACCTCTGCCATAACGAATAAGGGTATAAGATGGTCTGTGGGTGTAAATTTGAAAACGCTTTCCATTCGATGTTGTAAGACCTTTCCAGTCTGATAAAAGGGAAGAAAAAGTCGCTGTTCCAAGACAAGCGTATTTTCTATATTTGAAATTTCCAGAGTGAAAAGAAAGAAAAACATAATACAGTAGTTTGAACACAGAGGAGATCATTTGGTTCTTTACAAGACAGAATCGGCAGGCCAATAAGGCAGACAGACAGACCTTCCGAGTTTCAGTACAAGATAATGTGGAAAAGTATCTATTAGTGTTTTCCTTGGACTGTTTGGGAAGAGGTGTTCTAAACAATATTTTTATTTACTTTTCCCTTAGCATGCACAAAAGATACTGAAATCCAACAGGCAGTTCTGCAACAAGTTGGGGAAGTACCACATGCCGTTTGCTTGGGCAGTAAGGTAGGTTGACATCTGTAACCAACAGAACAGTCATACGTTTACAAGTCTGCGTTGGAAACTTCCGTTTGAACACCTCTCTGTTTCCTGTTATGTGTGATATACCAAAACCTGGAAAAATATTAATGGTGTCATCTTCATAAACATTCGGGGCTCTCCGGAAACATGTGCTTTACAAGACAATTCAGCAAGACAGAGTATAATAGATTGGGGCTATGATATGTGCACAGTGTGTGCACGACCAGATATGCTACGGCTTCTTGGTGGGATCAAAGTCATAACCTGTTTATTATGCATATTTGGTTTATTAAACGCTTGACATTATATCAGGCCTGAGAGTTTAGTGTGCATAACATCGAAATGGCAGCATTGTGATTTATTATGCAGCTGCGTATTTTCATCTATGTGTAGGGCATAGCCCTATGTATGGATGTCCAGAGGAAACCATCAGTTTGATCATTTAAGCTCTCTTTGATTTTGGCACTGATTAGCATAGCCAGATTTGTCAGTACTGGCTCACTTTCTGATGGAAACGCTGAGTTATGTCGACACTAAGGATGGAATCATCCTCCCGGACATAGAACCTCTGCATAAAGAACAAGAATTGCTTTTCGGGTCTGGTTAAAGATCAATTACAGTTGTCCTCCTCAATTTCTTTGCATCCTTATGTCTGTAAGAATTTCTTAAAAGAGGAAAAGCCTGTCATAGACACGAGGACAAAAAGGTCAGCAATGTATAAACCAAATTAACTTTAAAAGGTTGGGGCGCCTGGGTGGCTCAGTCGGTTAAGCAGTCAACTCTTGGTGTCGGCTCGGGTCATAATCTCACGGTCTTGGGATTGAGCCCCATGTGGGGCTCTGTACTGAGTACTGAGTGCAAAGCCTGCTTGGGATTCTCTCTCTCCCTCTCTATGCCCCTCCCCTTCTCATTCACGCTCTCTCTCTCTCTCTCTCTCTCTCTCTCTCTCAAAAATAAATAATAAACAGTTTAAACATTTTTAAAAATAAATAAATAAAAATAGGTTAATTAGCGTGCCATGAAGTAAGACAGCCTAGTAAGTATTCCTTTGAACATTGGTAACATTGTCCCAATGGTGGTAACTTCAGAAGGAAGACAGCATCTGTTAATTTTTGCCATTTTTAGGTCTCCCAGTACCCAGGGATGAGCATAACCAGAGTGAATCTACCAATATTTGTTATCATTGTGAGCTTGTTATTTGAAGTCGGGGGCAGGTAGGTGCAGGGGAGGGAAAGGTGGAAATATGAGCAACAGGAAACCAGGACAGACTTGCACAGTCTGTCCAACACAGCCCTGTAGTGAGGGAGAAAGAGACCAGACCCAGGAGTTGGACAAACACGGTCCAATTCAGGCCACCACTTACGGACAGTAACTTTACTCCAGTTTCCTCCCAGTTCTCAGGGTCCCAACCACATGATGAAACTGACAAGACCTGCCTCGTGGGCAATGGAGGCAATCTCAGCTACGAAAGCACTTGGCATAAAGTGGATCACACGTATCACTCTGTCTCTCTGTGCCTCTCGCCCTGCAGGGACAGCTAATGCCAGTACATGATGCCTGGAACAGACATTATCCGAATATACTGAACCTTTATGTTGAATTTCATTGTTTTTATTTCTCCCAAGCTTCCAGAGAAAGGATAACTAGTCATAGTTTGCTGGTTAAACTCTTTCATGTTGATAAGTATTCTCAATTCCCACAAGAAAACCTGTTGGGGCATAATATGATATCTTTTGGCAAAAGAGAAATATTCCAGTATAGCAAACTTACAACGGCAAACACATTTTCTGTTAAACGGCTCAGCACTGTTGTGAGGTTTTAGAAGCAGTCATTTGAGAGCCAGAGCTGGTTTTGAAATCTATACTGTACTTAATAGCCAAATGAACTTAGGCAAGTACTCATAGGCTATCTTTACCCTAGCTTTTTTTTAATGTATAAAAGAGGAATGATAATACATAATCTACTGTTGCAGAGATTAACAAGCACAGATATGTACCCAGTAAAAGATAACCATTGTCTGAAGTCACTATTCTTATATGATTATTAAGTCACCTGGGGAGATCATATTTTCTGCAACAAGTCCCCCTTTCTGGTAAATTTGGCACAGCGAAGAATATTGTGGGGTAGAGAAGGAAAAGCATTACCCTTTATTGATCAGTTAGGAGAAGAAGTAACAATTGTACAGTGAAGTTGTCTAGTAAAATATGCTGGAAGAAAGACGGATGAGGTTTCTAAGAAGGCTGACAATATTCCTGACTATCAAAGTAATTACGTCTAGGACAAGAAAGTCAACAAAACCACAAGCTCATGCTCCATTGATGCCTGATGAGTGGTTTGGCTGTAGGTTAGGAAACAGGAGGCACCACCAATTTGTGCACATAAATACATGGTTTACATTCACGTAAACATCTCTGACATCTCAGAAAAAAAAAAAATGGTTAGCAGCATAGTTTGAAAGATTTCATGTTAAACCCCTTGGAATAACTGATCACAAAAATAAGTACCAGATCCAGCCAAAGAAGATTTTAGTCCCCCTCGCAATGTGGAAATTGCTTCAAATAAAATGGCAACTGCATCAGAGGAGGGCTCGTGGTTACTCAAGCCATTAGCTGACATATTTCAATATTCTATTGATTCTGCTGGATGTTTGGCCTCCTTTTTTCCTACCATATTTTCTAGATTGCAGTTTGCCTAACAGTGTAGCTTTGAGTGTACCCTAAAACACTTTGGCCCTTAAGATCAACTGCCACTTAAAAAGGGTAGAATTGACAATTTAGCTTATGACCAGAGAGAGAGAGAGCACAAATAGGGGAGGAGTAGAGAGAGAGAGAGAGAGAAAGAGAGAGAGGATATGAAGCTAGCTCCAGGCTCCTAGCTGTCAATGCAGAGCCTGACACAGGGCTCAAGCCCACGACCCAAAGTCAGATGCCCAACCTCCTGCGCCACCCAGGTGCCCCAACTCTGATTCCTTTTAACCCACCTTACATGATATTCTAAATGGATTGGCACACAACCCTGGAATTTCTTTAAAATTGAACAAAACTCAATTAAAAACTTCATTCTTCCATCTATGTGTTTACAAAAGGCACACAGTCTAACAACATCCCCACCAAACGGTTGTCCAACCTCTGAATCCTCCCAATGACCAAAACTCAAGTGCATCCCACAATGGTTCCTTCCTTCTTTCTATAGGTCTAGTGATTAAATAACTCATTTAAAAAAAATATATTTTTCAACTGCATGACAATTACTTTTGTGTTTTGTCTTAACATTAGCTACAGAAATATGCCCCATTCTTTCTGTGTCACAGCTCTTCGTGCTGCTCGTGATTGAGGCTCTCAGGGACACCTGGGCTTCTTTTCCTGCAGCTAAACCCCACACTTTCTTCAGTCATCCCCCAAACGTCGCGGTTTTGAGACCCTCACCATATACGGATCATTGCCCAACTGTGGCAGCTGGAACGGGGCACAGCATCCTGCCATCCCGAAACCATCTGTGTGCATGAGTCACTTCTCTGTTCTCTTGCCAGTTAGCATATTTATTAAGCAAGGACAGCGTGTAGGGGGCTGTGAGCAGCTCGTCTCCCTGGCCCTGCGTTCTTCACCCTCTTTACAGCGTGTCCAGTGTAAGTGAGCTGTTTGCAGGACAGAGCTGCGGATACAAGCAGGAGCGAGTTTTACAGCTCACGTCCAGTGATACATTTGTAGTGGCTGGTTAATTACAAACAACAACAACACTACTCAAGGTCAGTTTGACCTCCTCCTGTGTTGAAAATACATCGTATTGGTTTCAACATGCCACACACCCGAACAGAAGCCCTGTGTGATATTTAAATAAAATCTTCGAATTAAATAGTTTCTCATTCTGCTTCCCCAGAATGAGAAATTTCCCCTCACTCACCACTTAACAGAGAAAAATGAGCAGAAAGGTGGAAGGAGTCTAAAAAATATGATTCTGGCCCATTTTCGGTATTATTTGACACTACAGCTCTATGATTAGATATCTATCTAAATGGCCACGTCAGCCTGTGTATTTTGGTTATTTGGTATTCGGAAATCTTTGGTTAATTTCAAGAGTAATAAAATAGTCTAGTCAAGCTCCTTAAGCTAGAAGAAATAAAACTTCAGCAGCTCTCTAAGATTACTGGAAAATCAATTATACACGGTTCTAATTTTTTTTGATAGGCACAGAGTATAATTAATTTTGAAGGAGAAAAGCTAACATTAAGCATGTTATGTATACTAGCTTGTATTGCCTGACATTACTATACTGTTTGGACAAAAACAACTTACGTGTTTTAACTAACTCTGTCTAGTTCCAGTGAAATAGACAATCAATGGCTCATGTTCATGGTGCTTTCTTTATGTAATACAAGATTCTGACTCAAGTGTTCCTTAGTTTACCTTTGTCTGTGTCTTAAAATTTAGGACGTGGGCATGTTTATCTCCAGGAGAATGTTTCAAGAGTCTGGCCCCCTAGACCCACATGTACGACCTTACCCCTTTTTCACTACTCATAAATTCTGATGGCACCATCCAGATCAAAGTAGCCCTAGCTTGCCCAGAAAGTAATGAAAAAAGGACTAACCTGTTCCTCTCCACTCTCGCAATCCTCCAAAGTTTTGATATGTTACTAAATCATAAATGGATGTAGTTGGAATATGGGTGGGCTGCTGTCTGTCTAGAGACTGAGTTGAAAATAAGGAATTAAAGACAACAAATACAGTGTTTAAATGAAACTTTTGTCTAAGGAGTTTTTTTGTTTTTTTATTTCATAAGTTCCTAGAGTTTCTTCCATTACAGATGGGAAATTGAATCATTTGTCACCTTAAAAACACAACCCGGTAAACAATATTCACATACCAATCTGAATAAATATCCTTTTCTTTCAGATCAGTATTTAAGGACAACCAGGGAAATGTGGACAGAGACTCAAGATTTTCACCATTGTATAGACAAGAAAGTAGCAAGATTTCAACCGAGGACCTCCTAAAACTAGTGTCAGATTACAGAAGGTAGGGTGTTGGGATACTCTTGAAATTAACACGAATCAGCTACATTGCTACTATTGATTTATTAACTCTGCATAAACAATACCTGGTTAACCTGATTTCTCAAATGGCCAAACTCCCCCAGAAAGTAGAAGCTTTACAGATGACTTCACATATGCATCAATGACCTAACAAAAGAAAATTTGCCACAATCATATGGAAGGAGTGTGAAACATAAAACCATGTCAGATAACTATTATCTCTCTGTAACAGATCACACCAAAATTTAGTAGCTTAAAAGAATAATATTTATTTTCCATGAGTCTCTAATTCGAGCCTGGTTGAGAGAGGAGAGCTTGTCTTTTCTGCACATGGCATCAGTTGGCAGAGTTCAGCTGGAACCAGAGGATCCACATTCCAGATGGCTCATTTAATGACTGGCAAGTTGACTTGGCTATTGATTGGGAGCTCAGTGGGAGCTGTAGACTAGAGACCTTGGCTCTTCTCCCTGGGAGCCTCTCCATGAGATACTATCACTTCCTCATGGAAAGAGAGCTGGCTTCTGAGAGTAAGTGTCCCAAGGGAGAGAAAAGGATCACTACCAGTTTCTTAAGACCAGGGCCCCGAAACTCTCGCAGTAGCATTTCTGCCATTAATATACTGTTAGGCTGCCACAGAGCCCAGATTAAAATAACAGAGACACAGACGCCTCTAATTAGGAAGGATGTTAAGGAGTTTTAGAACTATGTTTTGAAATTCCACAGAGAAATTCATTGCTGTGACTATAGTAATTCATAATATTTCTGTCATTCCAATGCTTTTAGAAAACACAGTGAAAGTTAGTGCTAAAAGAAGAAAAAACTTAATAAAACCCACAACATCTTTTAAATATCACCATGCATTCAACGTCAGGCGATGATAAGATCTTTCATGACGAGCAACTTCCCTTAAACTGTTAGTCCCCTGAGACCCAATCCCTAACATCCCTAAATGTTAACTCTCTACCTCTCCCATCTAAGAATCAACGATCATCTGTCAATTAATTTTGTTTATCCAAAGCACAAATAATGCATTACTATGAAACAAACATAACTAATACCTTCTGTATCGTCAGTAGAGAATATGTTTCTATTTAACTAGAAGGGAAGTTTTCCCAATGCTCGTTTTTTATTCTGAAAAAAAAGAATACAAACTTTAGAAAGCAAAATAAAGGTGAAAAGTAAAATCTTGGGGGAAACTACTGCTTTGTGATCCTACAAGACCACTCCTTACATGAGGAGATGCCCCCTGCTCTTGACTTCATCAGACTTCCAGGTCAAAGCTCCTACCATAGTCTTCCCAAAGGCTACTGAAGCCACTAAGTGGGAGCGAATAGTGTTTTACCTCTTTACCTTTTTTGCCAGTGTACGAAAGTATGAAAAGTTACAATGCTGAGCAGAACAAAAGGGACAAAATGTTTGGGGGTAATCTGATATTCACAGAAGATTATATTCTTGCAAAGCCCATATTGTCCACGTATAGAAAAGAAAATTATCACTCTGGCAGTTATAGGGCATCTAGAATACATAATGTCCCTCTGGGAAAACATTAAATTATTTCATAGACCCCTCACACTTTGTGGTATTTATTTGCAACAGTGTGCTGATAAACCCTGACTGTCTGACCCTCAAGGGGGAAAAACAGATTTGTACTGATGGCCAATTTCTGTCGTGTAAATGGTAGCATTGCTGATTTCAAGCTCCTGATGGGACTTCGCCGAACATGGGTTTTGGAAGAGATGCGCGCACCATCATATAACATTTCCACCAGACACATTCATGGATATCTCACCATGTAGTTAAATACTTCTAAGTGATCATTTTTGATCGCTTTGCTCATTATTACCTTGGTGTGTCATAGAATTTGTTTAATGGAAATTTGATACAATTTCACTTTTAATAAGGGCTGTATTTAACAACTAGCAGGCAAAGTAATTGAAGACCTAACAGGCAGCTCTCATAAGCTGGGAAGAGCTGGCTCTGACCCACCACTATAATTATTCTATTAGGTTTTCTAGAAGACCTAACTTGAAACTGTTATCAGCAACTTTCATCTCATTAGGAAGGAGGATAGGCAAAAAGGTTTTGGTAGAAAGGGAGAATGTGGGGTCAGGGATACTTGGTGAGAGGGTGTCTGCACACATTTACAAAGGGGGGGTGGGTACAAAAGAGGGAGAAGGCAGAAGAACCAAGGGCAGAGAAAGGCTCTTTGTCCTCCTTGATTGTTGGTGAAGAGGGAACAAACAGACCGTCCACTTAACAATTGTAGCAAAGACCACCCTTGCCCTTAAGACTTCTAAAGAGTCTTGGGGTGCCTGGGTGGCTCAGTCGGTTAAGCGTCCGACTTCGGCTCAGGTCATGATCTCACAGTCTGTGAGTTCGAGCCCCGCGCCAGGCGCTGTGCTGACAGCTCAGAGCCTGGAGCCTGCTTCGGATTCTGTGTCTCCCTCTCTCTCTGCCCCTTCCCCGCTCATGCTCTGTCTTTCTCTGTCTCAAAAATAAATACGAACATTAAAAAAAATTAAGAAAAAAAGACTTCTAAAGAGTCCTCATGAAAGTAAATCACTTAAACCCATTAAAATACTAGTACTTTTTGTTAACAAAAACTATCTATTTACTCTTGTACTTGTGTGGCCATTTCTGTACGCGGTATCCAAAACAGATGCAAATACATCTAGACATTCGTCAGAATACCTGTAATTTGAGCCCTCACTGATTTCTATTTTCATTTGCAAGATTACATAAATCTTAGTTTTTCAATATAAAACCAGCTAAATGAAATCTTTCACCAGGGCGTTTAGGGTTCTACTGTTTACTCCTATCAAAGCTCAGATTTACAGTTGACTTTTTTCTTGACAACTAGAATAATTCAGTGTGTGTGTGTGTGTGTGTGTGTGTGTGTGTGTGTGTGTGTGTTCGTGTTCCCCGCTTTCACAGGGCTGACAGAATAAGCAAAACACAGACCATCCCTGGAAGCCTGGATATTGCTGTGGACAACATTCCTTTGGAGCATCCAAGTATGATGATGATGTCATGATTTGCTTGTAGAGTTCTGAATAGTTAGTGGTCTTTTGGTTGGTTGGCTGGTGGGTTGGTGGGTTGGTTGGATAGCTGGTTAATTATAATAGTTTGGGAGGTTTTTTTCTCAAAGTTTGGGATAAATGGAATTCGTTATTCTACAGAAATTCGGGGCTTCTTATTTTTCCATTAAGACAAACTGTAAGTATGATAGGAGAGGAACTATATTCAGTGTAACCTAATATTGATCTGGTTTAATACCATGCATCCAGCAAGGTATTAAATTATGTCATTTAATCCTCAAAACCCTGGAGGGCTGCAAATGAGGAATGGCAGGTTCAGATAGATGGATAAAGCAATAACGCATAATGGGAGAATTTATATTCTATTCAGTTCCTCTGACTCAAAATACAGGGCTGGCCCCCCGACACTGTGCTGCCAGAGGGGTCCTCTGAACACCCCAAGTGACCATGTGGTGATTAGAACTGGAATATTTTTAGACTCTGTTATTACCCAGAGAGCATGTATCTTCCTCAGAACATGGTCAAAAGTCCCATTTATGTCAGTGAAAATCTGAATTTTAGAAGGAGCTTTTATTAGACTTATAAATAAGAATCTCAGAATCTATTTCTCAAGGCGTGAGACTGGTTTGTGTAGTTTTGTTACTTCTGATTATGCCTTCTAGTGACTTTCTCAATGATGCAAAGAATGAATAAAGGCATCCTAAAATGAACTACAAACAGAGAGAGGATTATTACTGCAGGATATTGAATCCCCATTAACACTATGAGGTTTTTCATTCTCATAATTTTTCCACAAATCATTTTAATATTGAAATAAAATGAGCATTCTAAACTAAGCCATGGCTCCAGATCACTTTTATATTGATTGGGGTGGAAAAGCAGAGAATAAACTAAGCCACTGCCTCTACCTGATTTGTGGGATGTGTCTTTTATTACCTGTAGGAGAGAAAAGTAACAAAAGAGAAAGCTAAAATCATCCGTTTGAAATGACTGTAGGACATTAGAGAAACTTGAACATATAATAAAAATACCATAATTGGTTTTTTGGGGAAAAAAATGTAATCTGATTCCCAAGCATATTTAGCTAACCATTTTGCTTTCTTGAACACAGGAAAATTCCAGATGGGGTAAAGAAAGGTAGAAGGCCTTCCTGTCTTCCAGTAACCACAACATCAGCCTCCAAACTATTTAGTGACATAAGTTTTGATTTATAAAATTTAAATTGTTCTTTTTTTGTATTTTCCTTAGGCTGTTCCTACAAGGCTAGATTTTTAAAGATTGGAAAAACTGGAGAGAAAAATAGTTGTATCAAATAATGCAGAGGGGCTTCAGGCTTGTGTTGTGAAATCATTCCATAGAGAAAACTTACTATCAATCCATTAAGTACTACCCATGATAGACCCATTGGACAAAGTTTTGTTTGGTCATATATCAATATGTGTATTATTTTTATGTTACAGTAAATGCCGGTGGGTTAATCTTTATAATCGCAGGTTAACGTGCTTGGAGAATCATTAACTAAAATTTACGTTCTATGTGAAGCCTAGTGCACAAAGAAAATAGTTATAAATCCATCCAAAAGATTTACCAATATTTTGAGACATCAGTTTGAATATTAAATAGCTTATCTGTCATCTTTGCCTCCTACAAATTTTTCATGCTAGCATAACTTAACATAAACTCCTTTACTTGGGGCTCTTGGGTGGCTCAGTTGGTTAAGCGTCTGACTCTTGGTTTAGGTTCAGGTCACGGTCTCACAGTTCATGGGTTCAAGACCCACATCAGGCTCCATACTGACAGTGTGGAGCCTGCTTGGGATGCTGTCTCTCTCCCTCTCTATCCCTCCCCTACCCTCTGTCTCTTGCTTAAAATAAATAAACTTTAAAAAATAAAATAAAAATTCCTTTACAAATGGAGTTTCTATTTCAACTGGGTTCATTTTAAAATATGTTAAGTATTGTTCACTGTAAACAATCAAGTTGAATGACAAACTCTTATTTTCTGATTTTTAAAGACTGTGTAACATCGTCCTTTATCCCTGTCAAGCCTTTCGATGTGACGGCTCAACCAGAACCCACGGTGGAGGTGGAAGAATTTGTTTACGACTCAACAAAGTATTGTCGTCCTTATAGAGTATACAAAAATCAAATTTACATTTACCCCAAGCACCTCAAGTATGATAGCCAGAAATGTTTCAACAAGGTACAATATACTTCCAAGATGTTATACTCTCTCTGCACCCTACTGAGACCATATTAAGAGGGTTTTTTGAAAGTTCAAGTACAAATTATCATAGGTCAATATTTTGGAATAAAATCCATTTGCAGAAAATGCTTCATAAGGGACAGTGATGAGTTTCACCTTAAAGGTGCTTAAGGACGCACCGTATTATAACATATTAATAATCCTTTCTAAAATCAGCCCTAAATTATTTTGTTCTAGACTTCTTTTATTTTCAGTTTCTTAAGATACTCCGAAAATAGCACACCTGCCTCCTTTTGATATGAGTTTTTTCTTCCTTTTAAATAATATCTCCAAATCCTTCTGCTATTTCTGAACACTGTGGATAATGTCATAAGAAAGTGTCGGGCATTATACATTTTTCAGATTTAATTAGAAGCTACTTATTTTAGACGTTTGGATTGTTTTTTTGGTGTTATTTAACAGGAAATTACAATTTCCATTTTCCCTCTCTGTAATTTTAGGCTCGAAACATAACCGTGTGCATTGAATTCAAAAACTCTGACGAAGAAGGTGCCAAGCCCGTGAAGGTGAGCCAAGTCTTCACGGGGACCCAGCATCCAGGGGGAGGGCAGGTGCCCAGGTTCTTTTTGCCACCAAGGAGCTTTTTATCTGAATGTGATTGAAAGAGCAGCAATTTGGGGCACCTGGGTGGCTCAGTCGGTTAAGCGTCTGGCTTTGGCTTAGGTCGTGATCTCGAGGTTCATTGGTTTGAGCCCTGCGTCCAGCTCTGCGTTGGTATTGCAGAGCCTGCTTGGGATTCTGTCTCTCTCCCTCTCTCTCTCTCTCTCTCTCTCTCTCTGCCCATTCCCCACTTGGGCGTGTGCTCTCTCTCTCTCTCGCTCTCTCTCTCTCTCTCTCTTCTCAAAATAAATAAATAAACTTTAAAGAAAAGAAAAAAGAGGAGCAATTCAATACATCTGTTTTAGATTTCCTAAAATGTGCCTGATCTAATAGCCATCATTAACTGCATCTACTGGAAAGGCCGGACTTGTAGCCTTGCTTAGCTTTTCACGATATGGGAAAAAGGAAACCATTCTAGTGTGACTAAATGCAAAGATTCCCCTTTAGAAGACTGCCCTCTTCAGAGATTAGCCCGCCTCTCAATTCCTCATCCTTGACTTCAAATGCCACATCCCAGCGGGCCCTCATGCGGCCTGTGTGGCAGGGCTGCTGTGTACGAGCTTGATGGCTGGTGCAGCGGGCCTGTTTGATGCCCACATCCAGGGAAGGAAGGTGTGGCCCAGCGACCGAGGAGCTGGGAAATGGCTCTGGAAAGTCGGTCCCTGCAGTTGATCGCATGATTTAATAAGATCCATCAGACCACGCGGTTTATACAAACTGCATACTGTGACTGGATGTCATTTTTCAAAGTTCACATTTGATGTAGACTGTTTTTCTGTAAGGGACTTCAAACAACAAAGAGTAACCCATAAAAAGAGAGGATAATTCTTTTCGGTGGGCCTGTGGCCAGATCTTCCCAGTTTCTAGGAGTCAGAGGAATGAAATAGTGAGGGACAAAGCGAATTCCTAACTCACCCCTGCAATTATCTGAGATAATCTCTTACAGCACTCTGTCAGGTACCAATCCTGTTCTCAGTACCGAGGAGGTTTGCAGCATTATTCAGAAGGAGAAGAATCAATGTAGCGGAGAAAGAGTTCTTTAAAATAGTCTTGAGCCACCATCGGTATCTGTAGGTTCCAAGTTCCGCAGTAACATTAGTGAGCATCAGGAGAGACAAACTAAGCAAAATGGAATTTTCAAGCAAGCAAAGGCAACGGCCAGATGGCAAGCACAGCAGGCCTGCTAGTGTAGTGTTGAAGGGGAAAATTCTAGCAATGGCAGGTGTGTGGGTCTCCTGTTTCATTGTGTTCTAAAGGATCACGCAGAGGGGCGCCTGGGTGGCGCAGTCGGTTAAGCGTCCAACTTCAGCCAGGTCACGATCTCGCAGTCTGGGAGTTCGAGCCCCGTGTCGGGCTCTGGGCTGATGGCTCAGAGCCTGGAGCCTGTTTTCGATTCTGTGTCTCCCTCTCTCTCTGCCCCTCCCCCATTCATGCTCTGTCTCTCTCTGTCCCAAAAATAAATAAACGTTGAAAAAAAATTTTTTTTTAAATAAAAAAAAAAAAAAAGGATCACGCAGAGATCAGCAGGCTGCAGAAGAGGGACCCTGATCCTTGGGCGAAGGGAGCTTTTAAGCTAGCTGCCTAGGAAGTGCCATATGACATCCCCTGGCTGGGAGAGAATAGTAATGCAATATGGTGCAGACTGGAACCAGCCCTATCCTTCCACCTCAGAATTCTTGGTTGCGAGCTGGCATGTCAGGGACTGGGGTCCAGCCAGACCTACGGTCACCGGGGACTCACTACCTTGGACTCTAAACGAGAGCTGGGTACCGTGGGCCCCTTCCGCAAGCCATCCTGCAGGAATCAGAATGGAACAAATTAGCTCTTATCTCCTGGGTAATCAAAAGTTAGGTAATGAACTGATTCAGGTGTTCAGCATTGATGTAATGGCTGCATGATGAATTAAAGCCTTCACATTTTCTTCAGCAGCACCCTGGTATCATAAATACAAGGCAGCAGGTGAAAGAAGTTCAAGGTTAATTAGATGTCAGCTAAGCCTGGCAAGGTGTCACAAAATTCGTCTTTGTTCCAGGATTGGTAACTGAAGGGTTGTGACATTTGTGTGTGTGTGCTCGGGGTTAATTTCAGACACTTATAACTATTCACCTCATAACTTTTTAAACAGTGTATTTATGGAAAACCTGGAGGGCCTCTCTTCACCTCGGCTGCCCACACAGCAGTTCTGCACCATTCCCAGAATCCGGATTTCTCTGACGAGGTAAGGCCCAGGCCTCCACAGCCCCCAGCAGCTCCTCACAGGATGGGTGAGTGGGTCAGGAAACTCACGAAGATAAACACTCTCTGGACCACGTCTCAGACTGAGAGCCTGCCTTGACTGTGGTTTGCTTCACTGAGATTTAGAAACTGTATTCACTGACAGTCGTTCAGGGAGTTATGTTGCAAATTCAGACATGTCCACGTAGGATTGCCCTTCGAAAATGCGGTATTTTTATGGCATCGTTCTTTTTGAGTGAGGATATTTTTTTTCTTTTATCTCACTGGTCAGTGTAATCAAGATTGTGTTCGATAGCTTTACCAATCAATAGCTGCATTTCGGGTCATAATGGAAAGAACGTAGGAACAGACAGGAGTGTGAGCCGACACTCGCTGCTGACCTATGTGAACCCAAGTGATCTTGGATCCCCTCGGCTCTAAATGTAGCATAGAACAAGACCTGCCCTGGCCAACTCCTAAGCCTCTCTCTCTTATTATGTGCCAGGCCTCATGCCATACTCCATATTTGCATCGTCCCAATCCCCACAGCGTCCTCCAGAGAACCAGAGCGGGTAGGGGGAGATCGATGTGTACAGATGGGTAGATTTATTATACGGGATTGACTCACGTTGTTCTGGAGATGAGAAGTCTCGTGATGTTCCGTCTGCAAGGCTGAGACCTTGGAAAAGCCAGCGGTAGTGTCCGAAGGCCTGAGAGCCAGAGAGCCTCTGATGTAGATCCCAGTCCAAGTCTGATGGCCTGAGACGAAGGGCACCAAGGGCAGAGAAAATCGGTGTTCTAGTTCAAGCAGTCAGGCAGAGAGGGAATTCATCCTTCTTCTGCCATTGTGTTCTATTTGGCCCTCATCAGATTGGATGACGAAAACCCGCACTGGGGAGGGCCGTCTGCTTTGCAGTCCTCCATTCAAATGCTCCACTCTTCCAGAAACACCCTCACTCACAGGCACACCCAGACATGATGTCCCAACAGCTGTCTGGGCATTCTGCATCCCAGTCAAGTTGACATAAAATTAACCTTCACACCTTCCTACTTTGTGGATAAGGACCCTGGGGCTCAGAGAAGTAACTTGGCCAAGGGCACACCACTAATAAGTGATCATCAGAGTTCAAACCAGGGCATGTGACTCTGGGGCCTGAAGCTTCGCCACTCTGCACTAAGTGAGGGGTGTCTGGGTGGCTCAATTGCTTAAGCGTCCGACTCTTGATTTTGACTCAGGTCATGATCTCACAGTTTGTGGAACTGGGCCCCACGCTGGGCTCTGGGCTGACAGCGCAGAGCCTGCTTGAGATTCTCTCTCTCTCCCTCTTTCACTGCTCCTTCTCCACGGGTGGTCTCTCTCTCTCAAAATAAATCAATAAACTTTAAGAAATAGACAAAACTGATCAGGCCGGTGATAAATTACTACACACAGGTCAGCTTGTGTTATAAAGAGACTCAGATAAACAAACTTTGATTAAATTTAATTTCTGACTGCAAAGCAAAGGTGTAATGCAACCTGCCGATTCAGTGTCTGGGTTTAAAAATATCACATCTTTTTATGAGTTTCCTATTGCTTCTATATAGTAAATCACCACATTTGGTGGCATAGAATAACCCATGTTCCAGTTCTGGAGGTTGTAACTCTGAAATGGGTCGCACGGGGCTGAAATCAAGGTGTCAGCAGGCCTGCAATCCTTCTGCAGGTTTTAGGGATGACTCCTTGACTCACCTTTCCCGACTTCTAGAGGTTTCTGCAGGCCTTGGCTGGTGACTCTCCGGCAGATGTTTCGTCACTCTGACTTCTTCTTCCCTTCTCATATCTCTGACTCCAACTTCCCTCCAATAAGGACTTTGTGATTACATTGGGCCCACGTGGTACTCCAACGCAACCTTTCCATTTTAAAATCCTTAATTTCACCCCTTGCGAAAATCCCGTTCAGTGTGTCTACAGATTCTGGATATCAGAGCAGGGAGGAAATATTTGGGGGAGCTGCTATTCTCCTTCCACACCTTAGTCCACATCAGTCATTTTTAAACTAATTAAGGAACCTCAGTGAGACCACAGACCTCCCTTCACCTTATCTCCTTCCTCCACATCCATTTAATGCACTTAAACTTTTTTCCCCATAGATTCAAGACAGAAGTGAAAAAAATTTAAGGTAAAGGGCTATTACCACATGACAGAATATTTATTTTATTGGCTGACCCCTTGGAAAAATCCATCTGAAAGATGCATTCTCTGTAGACATCTAAGATTTTTTTTAAGGATGTTCTCACTGTTAACACTGGCTTTTAATCTCTCTTGCACTCATGTGCTTCCCGGAATTCTTGTAAAAGCCATGAACTTTTCCACAGGAGAACACGTATATAATGAACAGCCTAGTGAACTGTGCAGTGCCGACTCAAACCTAAAGTTGCATTCATTGCAAAAATTGATAGAAATTCTTTCAAGGCATTGTTCTCAGTATAACGTAAATATTTGCAGTATTTGAGTGAAGGATGTTTACATTAATAGTTAATTGGAATTCTTGAGAACCTACTACGTTCCCATATGCCCTTTATGTTGTCTTAAAAAAAAAAAAGAAAGAACATTTCTTCCTGGCATGTAACTAATTACTGTATGCTCTTCAACGTACATTGGCTTTTGTTACCAGGTTAGCATAGGGGCATATAAAGAATGTGTAAGCTTGTAAACCATTCTAATCCCGACGCTGTCAAATTTTACCATTCATCAGAATCACCTGGAAGGCCGGTTACAACACAGATCACTGTAACCCACCCCAGATATTTGGATTCCATATGTCTGGACCGGGGCCTGAGAAGTTGCATGATACCTGTTAGAACAGGTTTCTAGATGATGTTGATGTTGCTGTTTGAGGGATACCATTTTCAAAACCAGTGTAGTAAATCCTTTCCTGAACAATGTGAAAACATATTAGCTACATAGGTGCACAGAGAGTGTAATAAATGAGCCGGCAGATAATTTGCATGGCTTTCTATCACCTTATTGCTTGACTATTCTGGAAACTACCTAGTTGCTGATACTGAGTTGAATGTAGCTTAACATGCGTGAGATCCTGGGATTCCAGCCTTAAGTAGTTATCAAAACACATGATTTCTCGTCCAGACGATCTTATTGCTAATTAGACCATACTCCTCGTGAGTCAAACCCCTGTAACATCTCTCGACTGGGTGCCTACATGTGCATCGTCCTACTTCACAAGGCTTTGAGAGAAATTAAATGACAATGTATGTGGCAGAGATTTGGAAACTGAAAGGCACTATAAAATATAGAGGGTGTCAAAACATTTCCTTTTAAGAACATGGGGTATTCTCCTAAGTACTTTTTTAACATATATCAACTTTATGTTTTATATTTATTCAGAAGTATTCTTTATGTAGCTACAGAATGACATCTTCACAAAACAGCTCATTACTTAGTCACCATGATAACACATTTCGTAAGTGTTTTTTTCGTTAGGTTCAAAAAGGGATAGATTCTGTGCTTAAGTTACGTCATTTCCTACTGCCACATTTCTCAGCAGCGTACCTATGAATCGCCTGGGGATCTTATTAAAATGCAGATTCTGAGGGGCGCCTGGGTGGCGCAGTCGGTTAAGCGTCCGACTTCAGCCAGGTCACGATCTCGCGGTCCATGAGTTCGAGCCCCGCGTCGGGCTCTGGGCTGATGGCTCAGAGCCTGGAGCCTGTTTCCGATTCTGTGTCTCCCTCTCTCTCTGCCCCTCGCCCGTTCATGCTCTGTCTCTCTCTATCCCAAAAATAAATAAACGTTGGAAAAAAAAAAAATTAAAAAAAAAAAAAATGCAGATTCTGATTCCACGTGTCTGGGGTAGTGTCCGAGACTGTGCATTTCTAATGAGCCCCCAAGTGATGCTCATTGGTCCAGGCACACAATCTGCAAGGCAAGGGCTCAGGTCACCCAGTGTATGTGCCTTGCTGATAAGTCCTCAATCTGTGCCTTTTGTGTGTGTGTGTGTGTGTGTGTGTGTGTGTGTGTGTGTGTGTGTGTTTAATCCATTCTCTACTGGCTAAATTATCCAATGAGAAATACTACACCTTCCAAATTATCATCATCACCACAGTAAAGAAGTAAAAATATCAGCCTCTTAACACATGACTGCTAGAAGGATAGATATTCATTGAGAGTCAAATCAATGTTTCTACCACGAAGTAGGAAACATGGAACTCAGTTCCAGTAAAAGAATTTTTAAAAGGTCAAGGTGCCTATGCTGTGTCTTTCCCTGACCCCAGGCAAATGAGTTTAATCTCAGTCCAGCTATGATCTCTTTCACTGCAGGTGAAAATCGAGCTCCCAACACAGCTCCATGAGAAACACCATATTTTGTTTTCTTTTTATCACGTCACTTGTGACATAAATGCCAAGGCTAACGCCAAGAAAAAGGAGACTCTGGAAACATCAGGTACTGACGGGCAGCATTCCGAGACAGCTTCACATGGGGTCTGTGGGACTTGCATTGGGGAGTATTTTAAAGCTATGATTTATTAAAATTTTTAGTGAAGTTTTATATTCATAAGTGACTCATAACTTTGTTTTTGGTCCTCACCACGGAGGTTTGTACTCAGAAGTTTTCTCTTTGTTCTTCCTCTGCACAGTTGGGTATGCTTGGCTTCCACTGATGAGACATGATCAGATTGCTTCTCAAGAGTACAATATCCCAATAGCAACAAGCCTGCCTCCTAATTATTTAAGCGTTCAAGATTCTGCGAGTGGGAAGGTATTGAGTGATGTATAATGTAAGGGAAAAAAGAAATACATGAGCTACATGGCACAAGGTTATCTTCTGTCTGCCGTTTAATTTAACCCAAAGGCCACGGTGTACGTATCCATCGTAGTGATGAGTCATGTACCCCACAATATCTCAAGCGTCTTGTTTAGTTTCTGGCCAGGAGAAATGATCTATTAGAATGACTCGCTGATAACGGTCTCACTCCCCAATATTGCCAGCTATATTCGCATCTTTTCTTTCCCATCCCTAGAGTCATGGAAGATGATGTCATGGGTCAGGACAGCCAATTAACATAAGCTAAATAACCTGTTTAGTTTCTTTTCTCAAGTTGCCGCAGCGACAGTAACGCGCCCTTTTTTACAGCATGGCGGGAGTGACATTAAGTGGGTCGATGGTGGAAAGCCTCTCTTCAGAGTGTCAACATTTGTGGTGTCCACAGTGAATACTCAGGTGAGCGTGTTGTCCTTAAATGTCAGCATCAGCCCCAACACGTGCGATCAGCGGGGGGCTCCTGTATTCATGGAAGGGGACTCCCCATGTCACATGCTGTCAGAGAGCAGGTGACTGAAAACTGCCAAGGCAGAATGTCTGCAGCATAATTTTATGCCTCTCCGAGAAGAGAGAGAATGTCCCAACCCTCCAGAACCAGGGACTAGAGTATCGGAGGTGTCTTTGTCAGGTTGATGCCCACCCCCCTCCTTGAAATATGGTTTGCTTCCACAGACAACACCCAGGTGTTAAAAATGGCGAAGGTTAAAATGGAAGAATTTGGATCTTTACCTCAAAACTAAGTCTGACTCCCAGGGCCTATCCAGTGCTCCGAATGCCAAGGCATCCGCTCCAAATGCAGAATTGCGTCTCAGGGCCTCCTCGGCCAAATTCGGCCTCAGTGACCCTGCACAGGCCACCCCACCCTTGCAGTCAGTATTTTTGTCATCAGGAGAATGGTGACGATAAAATCTACCTAAGGTTTGGGGAAGGATCGAAAGGAGAAACCACGTGTGAAAATATCTCAGGAACTTCAAAATGCTCTCCAATTGCAATTACAGTCCTTGCTAAATTACCACAGGCTCGCCCCCTTCCGTTGCGTGGCAGTTTATTGTACTACACTATATGGACTTTTATGATGACGAATTATAAATTACAAAGCAGATTCTTACAAGTATATAGACTACGGATTTCTCCGTGAGTTGCTAATTACTTGGTTGCTAAGAAAAATGAAACAATCCGGGGATTACACACATAACAGACCAGAATTTCCCTCGGTGACCTCTGGTTCCTCAAGCCAGATTCAGCCCTCTTGCCCAGTCCTCTACCCAAACTCTTCAAACCCATTTGGTCTCTGATGCCATCCCCCCCTGGGGCAAGTCCCACACAATGGTCCTTCCCCACCCAATGCTGCCTTTCTGTACCTCAGAATACCAGTGTCTCTTTCTCACACTTCCAGCTGCTTTCCTCCCCACAGCCCAGGTGTCTGTCTGACTCACCACCACTCACCTGTCTCTTACCGCCCCTTCCACCGCCCACGTACGCGTTGCCCTGTGGGGGATACATTCATCTTTCCTCAAGCACAGGACTTACCTCAGTGATCAACCGCCCAGGCCCTCTCTTGCACCGTGTCTCCCATCTGCCTAGCGTCCCGTTTGACACTCAGCCCTCCTGGCCAGGAAGGCCGTCCCTCCTTCTCTTCCTCCCCTCCCCACATGGGCCTGGTCAGCGCTTACCCATCCTTCAGACCCAGACTCAAATGTCACTTTCTCAAAGAAGCCCCTCCCATTCCCGGACCCCTCAGACAGGCCCCGCCATCTTGTCATACACCCATATAGCACCCTGCTTTCCTGTGAAGCACTTACCTAACTGTGACCAAGTAGCTATGTATTGAAATTGTGGTATGGTGCCAGTCTCCCTGGCGTAATGGAAGGGACTGGGTTTTCCTGGCCCTCCACTCTGTCCTCCGCACCTGCCAAGGGCCTGGCACAGAGTCAGCTTGCAGTAAGTGATTGTCCAAGAGATGAATAAATGAAGTGAAACTGAAAGTATCACACACACACACACACACGCACACCAGAGGGAACCCTGAGGGAAACCCAAGTCACAGATGCGCTTCTAGAATCGACAGATTCCAGAGAAACATCCAGAATGTGTATCCTCACTAAAATTCTGTGTCTCGCTTTCTGACTGTATAACTCTGACCTGAGCTCAGAACTTAGAGAATCTCCAAGCTGCCACCTTCTTCAGGAAATAGCATGAAAGGATGTATTAGTTTGCTGTGGCTGCGGTAACAAAACACCACAGACTGGGCAGCCTAAACCACAGAAATTTATGTTCTCACAGTTCTGGAGGCTAGAAGTCCAGTATCAAGGTGTCAGCAAGGTTTGTTTCTTCTGAGGCCTCTCTGCTTGGTGCATAGGTGGTCACCTTCTTGCTGGGTCCCCTCGTGGTCTTTCCCTCTGTGCCAACACACATCTGGTGTCTGTCTCTGGGGCCAAATCTCCTCTTTTATAGAGACATCAATCATACTGGATTAGGTGCACCCTAACTGCCTCATTTTAAGATTTATAATTGTCTCTCTAAAGAGCTTATCTTTAAATACGGTTACATTCTGGGGCGCCTGGGTGGCTCAGTCGGTTAAGCATCTGACTTCAGCTCAGGTCACGATCTCACAGTTTGTGAGTTCAAGCCCCGCATCGGGCTCTGTGCTAACCGTTCGGAGCCTAGAGCCTGCTTCGGATCCTGTGTCTCCCTCTCTCTCTCTGTCCCTCCCCAGCTCACATTCTGTCTCTCTCTGTCTCAGAAATAAAAATTAAAAACAATTTAAATATAGCTACATTCTGAGTTAGTGGAAGTTAGGACTTCAATGTATGGATTGTGGGAGAACATAATTCCCCCCATAACAAAGGGTCCGAGCCATTTTTATCTCATCAGGTTAGTGTGAACTTCCTCATTTTTTATTAGCTCAGACATTTTAAGCCTGCAAATGTCCCTCTGCATCTTAAGAGTACATCCTCTCTTGTGTGTTAAGAAATATGTAAGAAAACTATCTAGAAGTCTGTGGAAAAACCAGGAAGATGCAAGAAGGCAATTTAAAAAGGGGGCACCTGGGTGGCTCAGTCGGTTAAGCATCCAACTTCCATGATCTCAGCTCATGATCTCACGGTTCATGAGTTCGAGCCCCGCATTGGGCTCTGTGCTGACAGCTCAGAGCCTGGAGCCTGCTTTGGATTCTGTGTCTCCCTCTCTCTGCTCTCTCTCTCTCCTCAAAAATAAATAAAAACATTTAAAAATTAAAATGAAATAAAGTTAAATTAAATTAAATTAAATGATGAGGGGAACAGAGCCAAGGAAAGTGCTTCTCCAGTCACTGTCATGGGGCTGAGAAGGAAAACATACCTATGAGGAAGAAATAAGAGAGAAAGCAGGCTTGGTGGTCCAGGCAGAGCCTTCAGTGTGCCAGAATGTCTAGCGGAAACGAAAGCGTTCATTCTCAATCCTTGATAAAGCACCTGCTCATTGATGCGTCGGTTCTACAGAAATACTCACACCGCCCATCGCCATGATTGCGTCACCGGAAATAAACTCTTTCTTTCCTGTTTCAGGATCCCCACGTGAACGCATTTTTCCGACAGTGCCAAAAAAGGGAAAAAGATCTGTCTCAGTCACCTACCTCGAATTTCATCCGCTCTTGTAAGGTAACAGTGACCTGCAAACAGTTTCGGTGTCTCCAAGGTAGAAATGGGGGAAAGGGGTCTTTACGGTTTCCGGCGAGTAGCAAACTAAAGAGGTTACTGCCCTTGAAGATTTTTAGATGCCTTGTCAATTTCAGAGAGTAAATGGTTATGTCTCAGTGCCTAGTTTTTGTGTGTTGCTTAAAAAACTAGCAGAGATCAGGGGTTTTTTCCAAAAGAAAAATGGTTGAAAATCAGAATCAGTTGATTTTAAATTAAGTAATTATATAAAGTGCCCTTGCAACATCACCCCCATGCCTGTGTGCCTTGCCAAATGCAATGAAGAATAAAGCCAAAGGAAGGTGAGCTACAGCGTTCATATTTGAGTTCTAAAAAACATCAGCAGAATGTGCCTTAAAATTCATCGGTGCCTTTTTTTTTTTCCTACCAATTTACTACAGAACTTACTGAATGTGGAAAAGATTCACACAATCATGAGTTTTCTGCCTATAATCTTGAATCAGCTGTTCAAGGTGCTGGTACAGAACGAGGAAGACGAAATAAGTACAGCCGTGACCAGGTATCTATCACACGGTCTCGGGAGAAGAGATCTTACAGTCCATGGTTGCACCAAACTGATTGCAAGAGAATGACCACTACTCGCATGTGCCTGTGTTTCGTTTGAACACAGATCTCAAATCTTAAGTATTTATCACTCTTGACTTCTTGCTTTCAAGTCATTTGTTAGTATCATTTGGATAAAGTTTTAGACCGCTTTTTTTTTATTCTTTCTTCTGTTTTATCATTAAGCTTTTTATTTAGAGATAATTAGAGATTTGCATTCAGTCATAAGAAATAATGCAGAGACACCCCCTGTTCCCTTTACCCAGTTTACCAATGGCAACATCTTGCAAAACTGTAACACAGTATCACCACCAGGATATTGACATTGATGGAATGAGGATACAGAACAATTTCCATCACCCGGGAATCCCTCATGTTGCCTTTTTATAGCCACAGTTACTTCCATCACATCACATCACATCCCCACCCCTATCCTTGGTAACTACTAATCTGTTAAAATTTTAGATAGATAGATAGATAGATAGATAGATAGATAGATAGATATAGAGATATGAAGGAGAGCTGGGGATTTTTCCAGTTTTTCGTAGATTCTAGGTGAACACAAGATTTTATTTTTCAGATTAATAGCCAATGCAATTGCTGGGTCATATGATAATTGCACGTGTAGCTTTTAAGAAAACACTGAATTGTTTTCTGGAGTAGCTGTACCATTTTGCATTCACCCTAGGCTTTTTTTAAGATTTTTCTTAAATTGTTCTCACTTTAAATTTGTCCGTGCTGCATTCTTCCAACATCACTAATCTAATGACTCTGACAATCATAATTTCCTCTCCATAAAGATACCGTTTTAAGTTAGTTAAAGGATCATATATTTCTAATGTTCAGTGTTTTAAAAATATTAGTCACAGAATTCTAGGAAGAAAAATTGCTATTAACATTGAAATGTGTCCAGAACTTTCCTAACTCATAAGCATATTATTAACCTCTTCCAGAATGAGGGTCTTTAGCCTCATTTTTATTTTTTAATTTACATATTTAAATGCAAGTTAATTAATATACAGTGTCATATTAGTTTCGGGAGTAGAACCAGGTGACTCATCACTTACATATGACACCCAGTACTCATCCCAACAAGTGCCCTCCTTAATGCCCATCCCCCATTTAACCCATCCCCCCACCCCGCTCCCCTCCAGCAACCCTGTTTGTTCTCTGTATTTAAGAGTCCCTTATGGTTTGCCTCCCTCTCTGTTTTTATCTTCGCTTTCATTTTTTTTTTATTTTTTTTTTTACATTTTATTTATTTTTGATAGAGAGAGACAGAGCACAAGTGGGGGAGGGGCAGAGAGAGAGGGAGACACAGAATCCGAAGCAGGCTTCAGGCTCCCAGCCGTCAGCACAGAGCCTGACACGGGGCTCGAACTCACAAACCGCGAGATCATGACCTGAGCTGAAGTCGGACGCTCAACTGACTGAGCCACCCAGGCGTCCCTCTTCATTTTCATTTCTAAAGTAGAGCCCTGAAGCTCCGAAAAATTAATGCCTAATCGTTCCATGAGAGCCAGTTCTGGACCCAGATTAAAAGTTCCCAACTGTACCTTCAGTTGAGGCTCTTTCCAGTATGAATATATGGGTCTTTGTTGACAAGACTCCTCAATATTTCGGCGGATAGATCTGTTGAAAATCTGAGACATTCTAAGACATCAGTCACAGCCATAGAGCAACTGGAGGTATGCATGTGAAAACAATCAGCCCACACCACTGCTGCTATTAGAAACTCAGCAGCTAAGGAGGGAAATAAAAAACAAAACCCTGAATCTTAACCTCATCGCTTTCCGCAAAAACATGTGTAGCACCTCTGTGTTGAAAGGAAAGGTCCTCTTAAATGGACTATGATAATCAATTGGAAGTTCAACGTCTTGAGTTTTAATCAGGTACTAAAACTGATCCCTTTTCCAAGAAGGCAGTGTCTTCAAACGGGCAAGCCATAGAAGTCTCCAGTGGGACATTGCAGCCGTAAGATATTACTTCTATCTTAGTGTTTCGAGATTTCAGGGTTGGAAATAGTTAATAGGTAATAGGGATATTAAATATCCCGTATGGGGGGATGAGAGGAGGTATCTGAAATTGGTCCATGCGTTCATTCAGTATCTATTAAATACCCAGTTTATGGAACATACCAGTGACAACCCAAGTGGTATTTTCCCGCTTTCTCCAGAAAGGCCACTGAAGTTTTGTTTTTCCAGGGTTCTGACCGACATCGTGGCCAAGTGCCATGAGGAACAGCTGGACCACTCCATCCAGTCGTACATTAAGGTATGAAATCGACACTTGAACACTGGGCATATCCCCTTGTGCTGTGTGGTTTGTCTCATTTCCTGTCTGCAACAAGTGGGAAGTTTCTCCCTTTAGCTGGATGGGGCTTCCCCTCGGTAATATCAAGCATTCCCCTTAGCTACTTAGAACCCCATCTCTTCGCATTGATAACCCAGACGTGCTCTTTAACTATGTAAATAACATGGACCTGTGCAAATGAAGATTTATACGGGGAGGAAGAGCAAAGAAAGAGAAGAGAAAATGAAAAAGTATTGCCCTTTTGAAGTCAACATTACAAATAAATGCAATTCCTGTGTATATTTAAGGAATATTTTTCCTGTTGGCTTGTTGAATGCTCTGTGTTTCTTCTGTAATGTTTTCTTAGCTCTTTTTATTGTTTTCTCAGGCATTATTTCATTTTCCCAGTTACTGTATATTTGTACCTGCTTCTGGTATGTTAAGTCCTTTATCCTCGGGCATGATCCACTAGCCCATTCCGTCATTGTGCACTGCTTCTTCCAGCCCTCCTTCGCCAAGTGTTCACTCGGACATGTTCATATTCTCATTTCCCGTTGGCCTGTGACTTAATGCCAGTGAACTTGTGATGATGTTTGCACATTAGAGTTCCTGCCTAAATGTCATCTTCTTGAATGAAAAGAAAGAATCCATCCAGACATGAATAAGAGCGCCTCATACTGCTTTCTAATGCGTAAAGGAGCTAAATTTCTATTTTTTTAATGCACACGATTAAATCTTTTTGAGACACAGACCTTTTTTAACTAAAAGAATTTATTCCATTAATATATACAAATGGACGTATACTTATATAATTTAGGTGTCTAGAAAGGTGACTAGAGAAGAATTGGGGGGAAGGGCGGTTGTGCTAGAAACGTGTAAAAGACAAAAACAAAACTTCCCGTGAAATTTCATTCTGGAGGGAACCCCTCTGTGATACCATCGGTGAGGAATTTGTTCATGGCGGTTTTAGATCTGCATATTTTCTACCTGCCAGAAATGTTAGATAATCTCCCCAAATACCTAAGTATGAACTTGCTCCCTTCCTTACAATAGTCCATATGCCAAAAATAGTCAGCCACTTCACAGTTATTTCCCTATTGTATAATTTTGCCCAATAATATGTACATTTCAGTTGTGGAAAGCCAGTTCGACCTACAAATTCTTTTTTTAGTTTGTTCTCTGAGACAGAATCATAGTGTACTTTGAGCAGGTATTGATGAATTTACGTTCAACAGAATCGTCTACAGGACTTTCACTCTCTCAGTGCTTACCCTGAGTTTTCCATTTCAATCTCCAAAGGGGCTAAGAAGAAAACAGTTCCCCAGTCCTTATTACACAAAGGCATCTCCATTTCAACACAAGTATTTGCCTTGTTCCAATGGGATCATTGAAAATTACATTAAGAACCCATGATGTTGTGACTATTTTTGTGACAGCCAAGGCAAGTCCCTTAGAAGTCAGCTCTCAGACTCATTCTGTGATGCTCTTGGAAAGCTATATGGGAAGGCATCCTGATATGGTCTTTATTTTTGACCAGGCTCTTTGAAATCTCCTGATGAGACCATCTGATTTTGTAATATAGGAGACTGCATACTTAGTTTGCTTTGAAGTGGTTGAAATTCAGGAATATACCTAAGTAGAATTCCAAGCTGATAACAATTCCTGAAGATATTTTATAAAATACTTCCACATATCTACAGCGAGCACACCCTAATAAATAGTGTCAACAGTAATTTTACTCTAGAAAGAACACTAAACTAGCAAGTGGGAAATTAGATCCTAGTCGAGGTTAAATAGTTAACTAGAACAATCAGCCTCTCTTGACCTCATTTTTACTCCTGTGAAGTGAGAAGGATGAACCAGATGAATATCCAGCTCTATGATTCTGTTATTGGACTCCTGTTGCAATACATGGTTGACTGTCTGACCTTGACCAAGGAGTCTCATTTTTTTTTTTTTATCCTCGGTGGGAAAAAAGAATTTCTTAACATGCAGATAGATATTAAGCCCCATACCTAGGTGCATAACGAAAACTGATGGGCCGATGCCAATATATGCTTTTATATCTTTGAAAGATGTGCTATTCAATGGAACTTATGTATATTCAGAAGCAAACTAAACACCATTTCAAGTTCAGTGGTCCTAAATGCTGCTAACTCACCCCATCTACAATATCCAAAATGCACACACATACACCATGTCTTTTTCAAAGATGGGTGTCTAAAGCCAATCTAATTAAATGCCATGGGTTATGGCAATTCATGGCACTGACATGTTCCAGCCAAAATTTTAAAATAAGAATATCCCAGGGCTAGTTGTAATGCTGTTGAGGCCAAATAACAGGGCATACGACCAGGTAGTTGGGAGTGATATTACCCTCACATGAGTGGTAATTCATGAGGGAAAAAAAATCGTACTACTCTGGATTTTAGCTAGTTCCATGCATCTCTTAGCTTTGTCTTTCTCCTCTGGGATGAGCTCGGAGAAGTCAGCCTCCATCAGAGCCACTTAGGTGACAATGAGCTGCAAAGTTCAAATAAATAATGATAGATCCAAATGTGAATGTTCCTTTGCTTTGAGTTTCTTGCCTGCCTCCACTCTTGACGATAGCGAAGGCTGAGGGTGAATATTGTGAAGAAATGACCTTCCTTGAGGCTAACCCTACTCATAAGTAAAATGTTACAATTCAGTGATGAGCATTTTATATTTAAAATATGTGCATAAATTGGTACTGATACCCTTAAAATATATGAAGCGATCCTGAAAACTAAAAACCATCTCATGCGCTCAGAAGTGCATACCAAAACCAGTCTTTTGAGAGAAAAAAAGTAAGCAACATTTGTTATCCTACTGATGGCCGATGTTCATGAACCCTTTGATAGCTGTGCCTGAGCGTGACATGATAGAACCTGGGCGTGTGGGGAGCTCACGTACTGGCCTCTGGAAGGCACCTGCTTCCCCACTTGGCTATTTGAGTGGGTGCTCTACCCTTTCAGGATGAAGAAATGCTACCATGCCACCTGTTACCAGTGGAAGGAAGGAGAAGGGGAAATGTGTCCTAAGTAGGTGGGTCAAAGCCCTCCGTGTTTCCTTGAACCTGCTAAATTGCTCTCTGACTCTTTCTTTTGATTTCTACACAAAGAGTTTCAAGGAGAGCTTAGGTGAGCCAAGCCCTACCTGTGCAAAGCCCTAAATAGGAACAGTTGTATACTCCTCTTATCATTGGGCCTTCATTTATTTCATGACAAAATCTGGCATGAGCAGATAATTTTGAGATATGAGTTATTCGTGTAACATAACTGTGGAAACTCTGGTTTTCTGTTTTGTTTTTTTTTTTAAGTCTTTTAACTTTTTTCCCTTTTTGGATTTTCTTCAGTTCGTGTTCAAGACCAGGGCATGCAAGGAGAGAACTATACATGAGGAGCTGGCTAAAAATGTGACTGGTCTTTTGAAATCCAATGACACCCCAACAGTAAAGCATGTCCTCAAGGTAAAGAATTTAAATGAAATTAAATTTAACATTTAACAATAAATGTTGTCAGGTTTCACTGTTAGCACCAGGGCTGGCTTGCTCCCACTCCCGGAAGGTGATGGGACTCATCGATTCTCATAGGTCATTTCTCTTACAGTTTCTAGCATAAACGCCATATTGAAACTGCCCCATATAAAAACATTAAGCACAAGAGATCTGTGTCAAAAGAACAGAGCTAGAATAGGCCCAAGTTAAGTCCTTTGGCCTGAAGACAAAAACGAATGACCGTTAATAATCCGAAACACTCAAAAATGCTAACTGTAGCAAAAATAAAGTTTGTTGGGTTTTTAGGGATAGTAAGAGGAAATGTACCAACAGAAGGGTTAATGCTGTCCTAATGAATACACTGACAACAGACAGGAAGCGGACAGAGCCACCACTGTTTGACCCTAGAATGTTGAAAAACACATGCATTCGTGGTACATAAAGCAGAGGTGGCGTGGGCCGCCTGGGTGGCTCAGTCAGTTGAACACCCAACTCTTGGTTTTGGCTCAGGTCGTCATCTCGCAGTTCGTGAGTTTAAGTCCTGCTGGCAGTTCAGAGCCCGCTTGGGGTTCCCTCTCTCTCCCTCTCTCTGTGCCCCTCCCCTGCTCATGTTGTCTCTCTCTCTGTATCAAAATAAATAAATAAACTTTTTTAAAAAAGCAAAAAGAAAAGACGGCGAGAAGCTTATCAAGAGATAACTCTACATTATTATAGAAGCATGGATTTAGTCCCCAGCTAAATTAATTTTCTATCATGACTTGACAGATGGATGATTGATCAGCAGGTAGCTGGAAAGAGAAGGTGGGATCAATAAACCTCAACATGAGTTCCCTAAACTCAAATTATTCTAGGCCAAGCAGTTTGTTTAAATTAGTCTTATGAGTATATTCATTCTGTTTACGCAACAAAACTGCTCCGAGTGCCCCACCTCCCACAGGACAGGCACCAGCCTTAGCATTCGGCAGATAGAATAAAGACCTCTGCCCTTGGGAAGCTTGCATTCTGCTGGGGGATGAAAATGAGCAACTACAGACTTCAGAACCAAAATAATTAAATTGTGTGTTAGAAGGTGAGAAGTGGTATGGGGGAAAAAAATATCCAGCAGGTAAGGGGAATCGGGAACACTGGGGGTACAGAGTGAGGTTGGCAGTTTAAATAGAATGGTGAGGATAGAACTCATGGAGAAGGCGATACTTGAGCAAAAAGTGCAAAGGAAGTTGGGGAACTGGCCACGTGGGTGCTTGGAGAACAGTAAATGTAGAGGGGACTCATGTATAAAATCGCAAGGCAGCGGCCTGCCTGGTGTTCCAGAAGGATGGCAGAGAGGCCAGTGTGGCTGGAGCCAAGTCAACGAAGAAGAAAGGAGGAGGGCGGGAGTGGGGAGCACTGGTTGGCAGGTAGCCTAAGGCCTTGCGGGCTACTGCAAGGGCTTTGGCTCCCACTCGGCAAATTTGAGAGCCCTTAGAGGGTTGTGAGCAGGGGAGTGATGCAAGCTGACCTGAGTTTAAAGGGGCACCCTGATGGCTGTGTAAAGAGAGGATCCACTCTAGCAGGGGTGGAGTGAGGGTGGTATCAGGGTGCTCGGGGTGGCGGGGGGAGAGGTGCCTGCCAGAGAAGCAGGGTTCTGTAGGGAGAGTCCGCGCTCAGTTAAAAGACAAGGTCAAGGGAATGTTCGGAGAAATTACGTCTTCAGGAGATTTTGGTGATGTTGGGCCATGCCTTCCAGAAGGTGTGTCGGGAGATAAGAAGCAGTGGGATGTAAGAATGCAAAAAGGACTATGTGGTACCTACAGAGAATAGAGGGCAAGAAGGCGAGACTTCTGTTATCAGACAGAAACTGAGACCAAAGGCCTAATTCCATTAGTCCTGGTGGCCTCTAGGTAAACAGCAGAAGCAGACGAGACCGCTAAGGGGTAGAGCTTGATAGGCCTCAGCTGCCTTAAGAGGCAAATTTAGGGACACTTGGCATATCGTTAAAAATATCATTTTGGACACGATGGGGAAAGGGAATGGTAACAGTGTGCCTTGTATTGTTATTTCTGACAACATGAATTCCATTTCCAATATCAAGTTTACTAAGAAACGACCCCTTCGTAAATCGAGAGCTGCCTTGTTCGAACACAGACCTCCTTTGTCCCTCATCTCAGTCAGACGTCTAGAGTCAGGACCGTGGACTCAGAAGCTCTTAGCAGTGTTGTGTGTACCAGCCTAAAATGGATCTAATTCACGTGCCCCTCGATGGTAGACCAGAGAAGTAAATTGGGGTTGTGTATGTGATGGACTTCCAGCTAAATGAGTCAACATAGATGGACCTCAGGACAGGATTTCTTGAATGAAAAAAGCAATCATCGGACAATACGCACCGGATGATTCCGTTTATGTGGAGTTCAGCGGCAGGCAAAAACTAAATTGTGCTTCAGTGTATACTATTGGTAGCAAAACTTTGAAGTAAAGCAAGGGAATAATTAGCACAGAATTCAAAATTGTTATCAGTGGTGGATAAAATGGAAGGGGAAAAGGACCAGGGAGGTATAGTCTTTAAACTGTACATATACAACATACACTTTTTGTATCTGGGGTAAGTATGACCCTTAGACCCGAGAAAGGGGGACCTTCATCCTAGGACATGTTTTGGTCTTCTCCAGCTGCACCCCTCCGCAGAGGAAGAGGTGGGAGAGGAGCTAAGAGAAATGCCCACTGGGAGCCCCTACCTCCCCTTCTGGACCAAAAGGATTCCCAGGAGCCTCCCACCTTAAGGGCTTATCAGCTTAATCTTAGGCCCGCTGAGGGCCTCTTTCCTAAGTCCACCCTTCAGAGGGGAGATCTTGGTGCCCGAGGAAAACTAGACCTACGAAGGGAGCAGTTTGAAGTGGGAGAGAGTTCGTGGACAGCAGTCTCTTATGCAGGCTTGACAGTCCCATGTGGGCAGGTGGTCCGTCCCGGTATGGGATAGAACCTTGGGCAAGAAGAGGGGTTAGGCCAAGGACCTGCTCTGTCTGTGCCCCCACATTCTGGCCCAGCGCTCCAAGTTGACGTGAAGTTCTATTTGACATGAAGTTAGGGGAATCAAACACACTTAATTTAACACTTTGTTAGCTTGACTTCAAACTTTTAGATGTTTAGCCATGTGGCTTTCATCTTTACTTTTGCCTCTGGCCCTGGAAATGCTAAGGAGAGGCCCACGTTGATATATTTTAATATAAAACGTTTTCTTTAGTTTTGCGTAACTGAAACAAATAGAACACTCCATGAATAAATATTTCATGAGATTGCTGTCTAATCAGCCGCATCCAGTAAACCAGTATCTTGTTTTAGTTCAAACATTCTTTAAGATGATTAAGCTGCTGAAATGTCTGGCATTTACTTTCACCACTGGAATTTTGATAACGATCGTCCTAACCTAATGGAGATATTTTATTGTTCTGATTCATTTCGTTTCAAAGAACACATTTTAAAATAAAGACTTTACAACATTACGTGTTTTAAAGGACAAAATCATTGTTATTTTACTATCACGTAATAAATTTCTTGCTGTCTTTTCTTTTCCTAACAGCATTCTTGGTTCTTCTTTGCAATTATCCTCAAATCAATGGCACAGCACTTGATTGACACAAATAAAATTCAGGTAAGAACATAGGTAATGCAACACAGTCCAACAATTGTGCTGATGAATACGCCCTCGTTAGTTCCATTTTTGTTTGCTTTGTGAACCTTAGCGATCTGTGTCCGTTGCTTTTTAAGTGGGAGAAACGATTGTGTGCGTCAGTACAGGTCCTTCAGAAGCAGATGCCAGGACAGAATTAGAGGTGCAAAAGGATAGGAAGGAAGACCAAGACCAGGAAGATCTGACACCTGTGGAAGGAGAAGGAAGGAAAGAGGGTTGGCCAGAAAGAGCTTGGCAGTGAGAAGTTTTTAGCTGGGCCAGTGGGCATTCTGAGAGCGGAGAATGTTCATTAGAAGAGTCCTGCGTGGGGCAGATGGTCTGCTTGTGGTATCTCTGCAAGCTCAGTTATGAACTTGGAGAGCCTCGGGAGACCATGGGCTTGGCATGAGCGCTTGGCGTTCTTCCCGGTAGATTTTGTCTCGAAAGAACAGCTGAGCTGTGCTCATCCATGGCTGCCATAGTCCATGGTTTGTATTATGCAGAGCACATGCTCCTGAATCTGCCCTTCTGCAGTTCCCATGGGCCTCGCTTCCTGAAAGGAAGTTTACAAGAGGGAGGCTAGTGGGATCACCGGAAGCTCCTGTTATGGCAGTATGTCTCAGGGCACCACATGATTCTCATCATCTCCATCCTCTCCGTGTCCATCTTTGATTCCACTCACCCTCAGCCAGCAGCTCTGAAGGTCTTGGTGGCTTATCTGTGGTGTGACCCAAGCCCTCATTCAAACTGGTCCAGAGCGGTCTCAGCCTCTGGTCATCATACTCTACACAGATCATTCATAGTTATAATTGGGTAAGAGGACCAAGAAGCACTCAAGTGGATTGATCTCCTGAGTTCCACACAGATTTCTCTGTACTCTCACAGTAGGTAAACCACCCCCCTTCTGCCACCAAGAGAATAAATCAGAATATTGCTTGGGGTGGAGCTGGCGGTGAATAGTGATATTGTCTTTGTTTACACTCTTGGTCAGGAAGGGGCAGTGTTGGGGGTTTCCACTTGGCTTTTTACCACAGGCCAAGCATCCAGTGTGAGGTCAGTCCAAATGCCAATTATGTCAATACCAGTTATACATTTGCACCAGGTAAATGTATAAATGACTGTCAGGTGGATCTTTGAAACCAGTGGATCCACATTAGCAGAATTTTAGCGTGGACCCTTTTATTGATTCCTTTTAAGTTCCCACTGTAACAGGGTGGGCGTGATGATTCTTTTGGCCTCCAGATACCAGTATCAGCTCAGATCTTCTATTAAATAGTGCTTGAAATACATGAGGGTTCCCCTCCCCCTAGTGCAGTCATCTGAGTCCAAGGCTGTGGAGCCCTTTGTAGAGGGCTGATAGAATCATCAAAGTATATGCTTAACTGCAGTATGGCAGGGGGCTTTTTGTAGAGACCCTGTCTCCCCTTCAATCAGTGTGTACCAGATCTGAAAACTGACTCAGGTCTAGAGGCAGAGAAAGGAATCACAAATATTTTTTAGAGCAAACACTGTCATCTTCTGAGATGAGAAGCTGTCTTTTTGGTAGATTGAGTATTGCCATCGTTGGTTACTGGTTTTCCCAGAGGGACTCCAATATTTTTAACTAGCTCTACAACTACCTGAGGGTCAAGCCCCCTTGGCTGCTCTCCACCCTTCCTACCTGTTACCGTAATTGTGGCCTTCTGGCTCCTGGAGGTTAAGTACAATCTCCTGGCCTCTGTTATTTGGGGGACCATCATCGCCATGACTGTTAGTGAGGCCAACACTGTGACTGCCTGTCTCATCTACAGATGGGAGACCATTGAACTTCTTAGAGATGTCAGTCCCACCTTTTTGATGGCTTTGGTGTGAATGATGTGACTTGCGGACGTTCCTGTAGAACTTGATCCTCCAGTGGATCTTCTGGTCTCTACCTGTCCATTCTTACGTATCCATTTTCCTCTGTCTCTTTATTCTTTCTTCTGTCACCTGCCAGGACACCTCAAGTATTCTCATTTTCATGCTGCTTAGAATGTGCCGTCACCAGGATGCTAAGAGCCATCCTAACAATGAGTGGTCCACCCAAAGGTATCACTTCACTCAAGTCCTGATAAAATGTCAATGAATTTTAACTTATTCACTCTTCTTTCTGACCCCCTTGGGGACCAGAGGAACTCCCGTGGCTCCTGCTTGGTACATGCCAACTAACTCTTCCAGCTTCTTAGGGTATACTCTCTTTCATACCTTATTAGGCCCAGCAAGTTCATAGCTGGGTTACGCTAGGACATTTCACCTGGGAGAAATGCAGTCTCTAAATAGGGGGAAGTAGGGCACTTGTACCAAGGCTGAGGGTTTAGGAAAGTGTGCGTAGCCACCTGTCCTTGGGCCGTCCACCCAGATCCATGCTTCCAGACTCCAGGTCTCTCCAACCATGGCTTGACCTAAGCATAGCAGATCGGCCTTGGCTGGACACTTAATCGTCTCTGGACGATTACCTCTTAGATCATCAACTTACCTCTTAGATCATCTATCTGGTTTTCAGCTGTGTCTGCTCTCCCTCTTCCAGTGATGAAAACCTCCTGTCTGGAAGGAAGAGAAAATCTAATGTAAAGATAAGAATTATTCATATGTCTCTGTTACTGAGCTGTGTTGGGAGTTAGGAAACCTCACCACTCCAGTCTTTGCCCCATCACTAACAGGGTAGATGATAAAAAAGACACTTAGCATCTCAGAGCATATTTTCTCACCTGTGAGAAGAACGGATTAGACTAAAACCCTTTCATTCCTACCAGTATTTATCTGCTCAGATAGGTCACAGATGCCCTTATGAACAGTTAAAAATAAAGGAACTCATCATGGACGATTTATTTTTATTTATTTTTGAGAGACACAGAGAGACAGAGCATGAACAGGGGAGGGACACAGACACACAGACACACACACACACACACACACACACACACACACACACACAGGATCTGAAGCAGGCTCCAGGCTCTGAGCTGTCAGCACAGAGCCTGGCATGAGGCCCGAACTCATGAGCTGTGAGATCATGATCTGAGCTGAAGTCGGATCTTTAACCAGCTGAGCCACCCAGGCGCCCTGCATCACCTTTGAGTTTTCTAACCATCTCCATTCATCACAGACCTGATACCATCATTTTATTCAAAAGCATCCACAATGCACACCTCTTACGCTTTTTGTGTTGTCTTTTCTTTCTTTTTTTTTTTTTTTAATTGTGAAATGAATGGCTTCCCCCACCATTAAGACAGTTTTTGTCATCACGGAGTGTGGGAGATTTGAGGAAGTCAGGAGAGGCATCTGGTTTGGTGCCCTGAGAGGCAGACAGCACCTCCACATGTGGTCTTGACAAAGGTGAGTTCCTGTTCACTAGGAACTTATGGATGCCTTCTCTGCACTGATCTCTAGTAGCAAGAGGTTCATGGTACTGGCTGACCTTTTGTTTCCCACCAGCCTCCTTTTCCTCAAAAATTGCCAAGAGCCTGAACTTCAGCCCGTGCATTCTATGCCTGCCCCTGGTGACGTATGCCATACGATAGATAGCCCAGACTCTCCAATGTATTCTGGCTCTTTGGCTTACGATCAGACTGTGCTATTCCTTTGCCTCTTTTCTCCCCCTATTCTGAGACAGAAATCCACGATTCCCGGTGCAGACACTCTCCCATTTCAACTGAGCCTTTGGGATATACTTCTGGAGAACAATTGAAAACACTACTCACGTATTTACCTGTCAGAACTTCTTTGGGTTAAGAGTGGGAGTAGGCCACAAGGAGTTAGAGAAGTAGACAAAAAGAGGGAAGAACTGAGGGAATATCAAAGCCCAAGGTGTGAGCACATGTGCTGTGAAGAAAATGTTGGTGCTGATGTATATAATGCATCTTAGAGGATTAACAAAAGGAAAAGAGGAAATCTACAGACGTGCTTTGATTATTTAAAAAGAATGTTGTTTTCACGTAGGTGAATTGTTTACTTTATTTCCCAAGGTATATGGAGCAGAATGAAAAACTTCCCACGTGATTAAATAATTTATGTTTATTTGTTGTTAATGTAATTTGATTTCCACAGTAAGTGTTAAATATACATAGAGGGTAACCATATTATCCCAAAATATCTATATAGCCGTGTCCTGGTAAATGGATTTAAAAATAATCCAGTGCACATAAGCATTTAAGAACTTGGTCTTAGAAAGAAAGAAAAGAAGAAAGGAAGAGGGAGGGAAGGATGGAGGGAGGAGGAAGGAAGG